GGAGGGGCACACAGAGGCAGAAAACACAGGGCTTGCCGGATGCAGTGGATCACGCCTGTAATTCCAACACCTTGGGAGGCCGAAGTGGGGAGATCACAAGGTCAGGAGTTCGAGACTAGCCTGGCCAACATGGTGAAACCTCGTCTCTACTAAAAATATAAAAATTAGCCGGGTATGGTGACGGGCGCCTGTAATCCAGCTACGTGGGAGGGTGAGGTAGGAGAATCACTTGAACCTGGCAGGCAGAGGTTGCAGTGAGCTGAGATCACTGCATTCCTGAGTGACAGAGTTGGACTCCATCTGGGGGAAAAAAAAACATAGGGCTCTAAAGGTATAAATATTTATGTTGCGGTGGTATGGAAAGTTATATTAATAGTTTTGCATAGGAAATAAATATATTTGGGTTTATGTTTTCTAAAGATCTCCCTAGGTATCTGGTCTGTGGAGAATAGGATAGACACATGGTGGGAGGACAAGGGTGGAAGACCAAAGAAGACACTATTTTGGATCAGGACAAGGGAACCCCAGCATGTCTTCTGACCTCTGCCTTGCACCTGCCCCATGCCCATCTCCACACCCCACCTATGCTTGTGCTCCCAGCGCTCTCCACCAGGAATCCCTTCCTCTCCCATCCCAAGTCCTGCCATATTGCAAGACCAGCTCAAGGTCCACACCCCTCCACCTTGCATCCTCCCCTGTCATCCCAGTCACATCAATCTACCAGCCTTAGCACCTGGAATACTACTTCCTGATAATCACAAGACTTGCTGTGCTACCTTGTGTGGTCATTTCACATTTTATGTGCATTTGTCTGATCTCCATAACTTGCTTAAAGTTTATTATGGAGATCGGTGGTGTGATCTATGGCTAAATTGAGCCCCCAGAACATTACAAGCAGGCACAATGCTAGATATCTTGGGGCATGTGGAGGGAAGATAGAATCTGTCCCAGAGAAGCTTTCGTTCATCTGCAGATTTATCAAATACAAAGTCAGGTGATGCTGAGCCAGTTTGCACTGATGAGGAAATGCAGGGAGGGAGGAGATTCATGTAAAACAGTGGGTAAGAAACACTTAAAGCGCCGGGCGCGGTGGCTCAAGCCTGTAATCCCAGCACTTTGGGAGGCCAGGCGGGCAGATCACGAGGTCAGGAGATGGAGACCATCCTGGCTAACACGGTGAAACCCCATCTCTACTAAAAAATACAAAAAAACTAGCCGGGCGAGGTGGCAGGCGCCTGTAGTCCCAGCTACTGGGGAGGCTGAGGCAGGAGAATGGTGTAAACCCGGGAGGTCTCAAACAAATTAAAACAATTTTTAAAACACACACACGCACACACAGTATGCCAACTATTTATGCAGCACTTACGTTGTGTTAGGCATCAGTAACCTGGAGATGATTAAAAGTGGAAGGAAAGATGTGTGCAGGTTCTATGCAAATACTACACAAAGGAAATATTATACTTCTATAATTACCATAATTACCTGCAACAGAGGTCAGCACATTCTTTCTATGAAGAACCGGAGAGTAAATATTGTTAGCTTTGTGGTGGGCCTCTGTTGCAACTACTCATCTCTGCCGTTGTGGTACAAATGCACACATAGACAAACTATCCACAAATACACAGAGATCTGTTTCAATAAAACTTTATTCACAAAAACAGGTGGCAGGGTAGATTTGGTCTCTCTACTGTAGTTCACTGACCCCTGACCTAAAAGATTACATACTTTGAAAATAGCAATGCCAAACCTTGAATCCAGGTCCGATATTTTCCAGCAATCATGATGCTTCTCTGATCAACCGAACAAAACAGTTATAAATGTACTGGCTAAATTTGGCTTTATGCACTTGTCGTGTCCCCTATTACAGTATAAGCTTTTGGTGAGTAGGGATTTTCAAATTATTTAAAGCACTTATTTTTATACCCAGTACACACAAATACAGAACATTACTATAGCAGATTTTTGACCCAATTTAGTGTGCTACCTGAATAAAAAGCTTAGTAACTAAAAAATTGCCCTCTTAGATTTCTGAACTATTTTTTTTTCTTTTTTTTGGAGACAGGGTCTCACTCTGTCACCCACACTGGAATGCAGTGGTACCATCATGGCTCACTGCAGCCTTGACCTCCTGGGCTCAAATGATTTTCTCATCTCAGCCTCCCCAGTAGCTGGGACTACAGATGCGCACTACCACACCTGGCTAATGTTTAATTTTTTGTAGAGACAGGGTCTTGTCATGTTGCCCAGGGTGGTCTTGAAATCCTGAGCTCAAATGATCCTCGTCTTGGCCTTCCAACATGCTGGGATTACAGGCGTGAGCCAGCATGCCTGGCTGAAACTATTTTTACAGAGAACTTATGTGGTGCTATGGTTTGGCTGTGTCCCCACCCAAATCTCATCTTGAATTGTAGCTCCCATAATCCCCACCTGTCATGGGAGGGACCTGATGGGAGGTAATTGAATCATGGGGGCAGGTTTTCCCATGCTGTCCTCGTTGATAGTGAGTAAGTCTCAGATAGATCTAATGGTTTTATAAAGGGGAGTTCCCCCGCACACACTCTCTCGCCTGCTGCCATGTAAGATGTGCCTTTGCTCCTCTTTCACCATCCACCATGATTGTGAGGCCTCCCCAGACATGTGAGACTGTGAATCCATTCAACTTCTTTTTCCTTATAAATTGCCCAGTCTCAGGCATGTCTTTATAGCAGTGTGGAGAATGGATTAATATAGATGGCCTTATCCTGTTTTTCTACAAAGCTATCTGAGGTACTATATAATCAAAAAGAATAAGACAATTCTATAGGTATTAATGTAGGATGAGAGCTAAAATACTATGCTGAGACAAAAGCAAGTTACAACAATTTGTTTCTATATATTAAAAATGAGGATGGGGATATATATGTGTGAGTATATGATTGGACAGTTTATTTTTAAGAGAGAATATTCAATAAAACAGTAAAAATAGCTGTTTCTGGGAAAAGAAAATGGGTAATTAGAGGGCTACAGCTGGAAAAAAAGTAACATTTTACTTCTAGTATTTGAGATTTTTGTTTTACAAGTCACCTACATATATTAGCTTTCAAAAGAATTAAAAAATACTAGATTGTTGGCATCTGAAATGATAAAATACTTTATGCTGATGCCTTCCTCAGTAATAAACAGAGACATTCAAAACTGCAGTCAGCCCTCAGTGTCCACGTGGTCTGAATCCAACCACAGATTGAAAATATTTAAAAAAAATTTTTTTGGCGGGGCACAGTGGCTACACCTGTCATCCTAGCACTTTGGGAGGCTGAGGTGGGAGGACTGCTTGAGCCCAGGAGGTTGAGGCTGCAATGAACTGTGACTGTGCCTCTGCACTCTAGCCTGGTGCCAGAGTGAGACCCTGTCTCAAACAAATTAAAACAATTTTTAAAACACACACACGCACACACAGTATGCCAACTATTTATGCAGCACTTACGTTGTGTTAGGCATCAGTAACCTGGAGATGATTCAAAGTGGAAGGAAAGATGTGTGCAGGTTCTATGCAAATACTACACCACTGTATATCAGTGACTTGAGCATCTGTGAATTTTGTATCCTGGGGGAGGTCCAGAACCAATGTTCCTTGGATACCAAGGGACGACTGCACTTCAGTGACCTTGTTCAAAGCTACTGACATCACACACACCAAGAAGTGCACGTAAAACCAGTAAAATTGGAATAGGTTCCGTGGCTGCGGGAAACTCGGTGGTACTTTGTTAGCTGTGATGCTGCTCTACAGTGATAGGAGATGTCACCACTGGGGAAACTGAGTGAAGGGCACGCAGGCCTCCCTGTATGTTCTGTTACAACTTTCTCTGAGTCTGTAATTATTTCTAAATAAGAGGCTAAAAACAAAACCACAACTATGCCACGCAAAGGCTCACGTGTAAATCTACGTTCTAACTATGGTGCTGCTCTAACCCCCTAACTGAGTCATGCCTTTCCTTGCCTATTTCCCCATCTGTAATTAAGGGCGGGGGACAGCCTTCCAGAGTAAATTAAGTCACAGAGGGAATCCTGAGAGGTGTGCAGTAGAAAGACTTCTGTCAGATTCTCTCTGGGCCTAAAATAAAAACAGAGAACACATATCCTAGTCTTTGCCAGCCTTCCTTCGGTCCCTGGGTGGGGGGCACAGGATCCAGGCAGCACCTGGCTTCAGGTTCCATCCCAATCCCTGCAGAATGGGAAGAAGCTATTTGTGAGCATGAGCAGAGGTGGGAGTCAGTGGTCTGCAAGGGAAGTGGCGCTTGCTCATGCCAGATGCCTGGTCTGGTGGTTTGGGTACATAGGCAACCAAACCACCTACCTGTGTGTTCTACCCCACAGGGAAGTGCAGGCAGGTTCTAGGATCTGGGGTTTCAAGATCAGGCACCCTTTGGGGCTGACACAGGAGACTGTCTGACATAAACACATTTCAAGTCCTCAGCTGTGTGTGACTTCATTTATCAGTCCCTTCTTTTGCCTCTTGGCTTTCTTGAAGTCACACTCAGTGTCTACAAGAGCAGTGGAGACAGCTGCAGTTCTGTGTGTGGACCTGGTGAGCAAGTCCATGAAACAAACACCAAGCCCAGACACTGAAACCTCAGCATTAACACCAAAAAGCCAGCCGGGCGCGGTAGCTCACACCTGTAATCCCCAGCACTGTGGGAGGCTGAGGCAGATGGATCACTTGAGGTCAGGAGTTCAAGACCAGCCTGGCCAACATGGTGAAACCCCATTTCTACTAAAAATACAAAAGCCAGGCATGGTGGTGCTCACCTGTAGTCCCAGCTCCTTGGGAGGCTGAGACCGGAGGATCGCTAGAACCCAGGAGGCAGAGGCTGCAGTGAGCCGAGATCACACCACTGTACTCCAGCCTGGACAACAGAGACTCTGTCTCTAAAGAAAAAAAAAACCCACCACAAAGCCAAAACAAAAATAAGCCTCCCCTCCATGGCATTTCGAGCCTCCTCTGATAAAGGAAACACACAGCGTGTTAGCTAGTATCTTTTATTGTCAGACCTGTGAGCCAACAGTTTTGCAGGGTTGTGCACAACGGGACAAGGCAAATTTCTTGTGTGGGTAGACCTAGCTGGCCCAAGTCTTTAAAACTTTTCCATATAAAAATAGAAGTCCAAGACCAGATTATTTTTCTTCTGGTCATAAATGCTGATTTATTTACAGGTGCCTTGGTCAGACCACCATTATAAACTTGGGATAAAATACGTGTGTATTTTACTAAAGCCTCAGCATTTAATGTCAGGGTCCTTTAAAGGTTCACTCAAATGTTAAGACATTTCTGGAATGCAGCGTCTCTACCCCATAGTCAACATGGTTGTACCTGTAATCGATCCAGAGGGATACAATTTAACCTTCAAAGTAACACTTTAACTTAAATCTTTTAGACATGAAAGACTCCGAAATGACTTCATTCTTGTTCTAAAACCAGCACTGGAGCCAGCTGTTGAAGAGTAGTTTATAAATACAGTTATCTTGTAGGCTGCGTATCTGTTTATAATACAGCAGACACAGATGCAGACTTTGCTACATGTAAAACAAAATGGAGTCAACACGTGTTTTTCAAAATACAGCAAAGACAGGAAAATCCAGGATTCCGGTTTGTTAATAAAACCACCTTATAAAGTAACAATTGAGACTATAGCTCTGCACTATTAAAAATATACAGACAGACTGTGTACACCATTGCACATCCTTTTTCCCTTTGCTTTTTAATGCTCATGAAACCATGATTAAAGTGTTGAGTTTATGAACACATGCATGAACAGGCAAGCACGTACACTTAAAAGATGAAACAAAGAAAAACGTTGATCATGTCATTCCATGAGAAAGGCTGCCCGCAGCACTCCAGCTCACACACACAGTCCCCTCGGGCTCTCTATCCCCTCCCTACTCCCTCACCTTCCCTCAGATTCGGGGAAATCAGGTTGGGAGGTTAGCGCATCATTGACAGAGAATGCCCCCCTTCCACGCTCTGTAAGTCTCCCCGAGAAGAGGGGGGAAGGCAGTTCCCTTCAGTAGCACAGTTAGGGTCGATTAGTGTTGGTTCCACAAGTTAAGGCACTTCCGGCTGCTTTGGTGGCAGCATGGTTCCTCCCCTCCTTTTTTAAGGCATGTGTCCTCTAAGAGTAGTAAAGCTTTGGAAACTGTGCAGACTGTTAAAGTTGACAGCTTAATACAGGATCATTGAAGTCGGCAGGCAAAAGGATCCTCAGAGACACCTCCCTCCAACCAGAAGCTTCCAGAAAGCCTGGGCAGCCCTGTGTTTCGGCTGGGCATGGCACACTGGAGCCAGCCGAGGCCAGAGGGTGGTGCGTTCAGGTAGCAAAGACAGGTGGGCTCCGTCCCGCCTTCACCTGGAGCTGCCCTGGCTGCTGGCGGAGCGTGTCGTGCTGTAGCGCTTCTTCACGATCATGCTGATGTAGGCTTTCATGAGCTTGGCCACATCCACCACCTGCCCAGCAGGGAAGCAGAACCAACACATGGTCACGAGTCTCCCCCAGGCAAAGGGCCCTGCCTAATAACCAGACATTCCCTGGGCACCCTCCCATAGCTTTCCGTGCTAATCCACAGCTCCCATTTTGCAGGAAGCCAGAAATTTAGCTGCTTTCACCTTCCTCATCAGGGAGAGGTGGAATCTCGGCTTTTCCAAATACAATGTGCACCACCTGGTGGTTCTTTCACACAAACGTGCCAACTTGGCTTGATGTAAACTGTCAGATTTTGCACATTAAAATACAGAGCTACCCAAGGAAGCTGAAGTAACTCAGTGTCAACAGTACTAGGATTACTATCCCTGCTTAAAATAAATGTGAAATGACAGAGTCCATAATTACAGCCTTTAAAGACAGGATCATCTAATTCTAGTCAACTCCTTAGGATGCAGCTGAAGAAATAAGATAACTGAGGCCCTAGGGGCTGGGAGAGCGGCCAGCTCCCCAGACACCAGGCCCGCTTCTGCTCCGTACCAGCCACCTCCTCCAGCTGGGATCTCCATTAGCTCCCTCCCATGGTGTCCCCGTCATTGCCACTCCTTCTCACAGCTGGCCTGGACCTCGTGCAGGCATCATAACTGGCTTCCATTTCCCTGCTTGCTCTCTTCCCTTCCAGTCCCACCCCAGAGATCACTGTCTGTAAATTCACTGTTATGCCATGTACAATCAAAGATCCCATCGTGGTTCCTTGTTGTCTACTGGATCTCACCAAATCCTGCAGTCTGGCACCTGGGACCCTTGAGTCAAGGGCTCCCCACCCTCTTCCCTCTCACTGCACATCTCCCCATCAGCCTAAGGAACCTACAATGCCACATCCTCCAAGCACCTGGAACGCCCTCCTCACCGCCTCTCCATTCCGAACCAGGCAGCAGGTGACTCCTCTCCACTCACCACGTTGGATTGCTAGCTGTTCCCTTTGTGGAAGCCTCAATAAGCTTCTTGTATTATACTGTTTAAACTTTGAAGCTGGCAGTATATATATTTAGAGGCCTTTTAGTGTGTGTGGTTTCACAGTCTAGAATGAGCTGCACCTAGGATGGTCATGTTCCCGGCTTCCTCCTGGTCTCAAGAGGCCACCAGAAACGAGTCTCACAGCTCTGACACTGCCGTAATTAACTAATTGTCATAAGGTTTTGTTGCAAAGAATATACTTTTTCATGGACATCTATGTCACTTCCCTTTCTCTTCCTTTCCTCCAAGGGTAAGACTCCGTGACACAATGGAACCAAATTCCTCTGTTGCAAAAGTATACAGAAGAAATACAGGGTTCTCAGATTTTAGCCTGTAGGGAACCAGCAGCTGGAAAGGGACCACCACACTGTATTTTCATGTCTTAGAGAAAAATATTCAAAGAAAATGACCTGGTCAAAGGCATGAGGAAATGGGGTCTTGTTTTCCTGTCTTGTCAAGACCATGAATAAAAAGATGAACTGGCTTTGCCTCTTACCTCACTGGTTTCAAAGAGCAGCTCCCTCTCATCGACCACGATCTTGTACGTATTCGCCAGGGGTGCCCCAAAAGAGAGGATGTGTTCATACTGGAAGACTTCCAGTGGTCTCCCCTCCCCACGCTTGTAGACGGAGACGGCATCCGCACTGACACCCAACCAGAGTTCCTGAGGGAAGCCACCTTCCTTGCACTGGTGGGCAAGAAAGTCAACAGAAGAGTTAAGTCACGAAATGGTTGGCAACAGCATCTAAACCGTAAGACAGGCTTTGAGTGAAGTCCTCTGCACAGAAGATTAAATATAAATACATTCGATGTGCGTGCATGCATGGAGGGGCATGAAATACGAGAAACGGCACCTCTCTGGCTATCTAGATTGATTTCTAACTAGTTAATCTCATGCATTTGGGAAAAGCTCACTAACTGGCAGGGTCTAACATCTTGCTTTGACCCTCCACTTCTTGGCATTATTCTACTAGCTGTTTGGTTTAGTGACATGGAAGTGGCCTGGTAATGCACATGCTGGCCGGGGGACTGAAGGAAGCTCCCCTCCTCAAGACAAGTCGACTTTTAATATCTCCAGTTCTGCCTCCAGTCCTCTTTGCGGGTGGTTAGTCTTCAAATACAAAATCTAGGATCACAGAGGGAAATTCTCCACATCACGCATGCTGAGCAGTTCTGGCTCCTCGACAAGGAGCAGCAATGGCCTTCCATGTGCAGAGTGGGAACAGGGTCTTGACTGGTTTTGGTTTAACTGTACACACAGATTGGTGGAAGACAATAAGAGCCCATATGTAGGGGCTAACAACACAGGGCTGATCCAAACCTGGACAAGCAGGAGGGTTATAAATTGGGGACACTGAAAAGAGTCCTGAGTTTGTATCCCTAATAACCAGACATTCTCTGCATTCTCCATGCAAAAGCCAGTAGCTTTCTATACTAATCCACAGCTCACATTTTGCAGGAAGCCAAGAGTTTAACTGCTATTATTAACTATTCCTTGTCAGGGAGAAGTGGAATCATAGCTTTGTACAAAACACCTGATTTTTTTATACTTAAAAACAAACTTCATTGAACCAACCAACCAACCAAACCAAAAACACCACCCAATGAAAAGCCATTAATGGATCCTAGAATATACAATCAATATTTAGATTTTTACAGACCCTCAATTTAAAGTCATCGGATAACATGCAGAATTACTGCGATCATCAAAAAAAAAAGCTAATTTAGACCAGGAGCTGGCAAACGTATCGGTTAAGGGCCACACAGGAAAGATTTTTAGACTTTGTGGATCACGTTGTCTCTGTCACAACTACTCAACTCTGCACAAAAATAGCCAGAGAATGTATCTAAAGGAATGAGCTTGGCTGTGTTCCAATAAAATATCAGAAAAAAGGAGGCAGGCAAGATCTGACCCACAGACCAGTTTGCCAAACTCTCATCTATACCATTAGTAAGACTGCTTTTCAGTAAGTGGTCTACTTAAAAAAAAAAAATCAGTACTGGGTTGATGCTAATGGCTAAATTCCATTATGAAACACATTCTTTCAAACACAGGGTTGTAAAGAAAAAACAAGTAAAATGCAAGTATATCCACAGTTTCTAATTTGTATATATAGCTATAAATTTTTTTAAATGTAGATTTTTGTCAGTGTTTAAAAAATTAGATCTATAGCTTCCCTAAGGAAGGGTAGTAAAAGAATAGATGACGTCTTAATTTTGCATTCATTCCTAATATTACAGATGCATTTACTACAAAGGAGAGGAGAAACTGTGAGAAGAAGGGAGGTGTTAATGGTACAATTTAGGGGGCTCGAATAAAAAAGGTTGAGAGAGCAAAGTGCTCCATCTTGTCTTCTCTCCATATGAACTTGGCCATGATCCATGTTCTCAGATGCCGGCACCCCGCCCACCCCGACACACGGCAGCCACTTCTCACCTCCACGTCAAACAGCGTCGAGCCATAGCCAGGCCACTCCTTGATCAAGGCCATGTACTTGGCCATGGCCTGTTCCTGGTTCAGTCCCTGAAATTTCTTCCACTTGTCAATGATACTGGCTCGAGCAGAGGAGACCTCTTCCTTAATCCACATGTCCAGCATCTGCTCCTCCTCGACCTTCTGGCGGACCACGGACCCTGTCCGGAAGCTCCGCCTCAGGGTCCCCTCCAGGAAGCTCGTCCGCCTCTTCTCCAGCCGCTCACAAGGGGTGAAGGTTTTGGTTGACTGGCTGATGCGGGCCTTGAGTCTCTGCAGGGAATAAACCTCTTCGAGAGGTGGGATGGCAGCGTGCAGAGTATAATCCCCCTGCAGATACTGGAGTCGCAGGGCGGCAAGAACCTGGAGGTTTTCTTCTGGGGCTGGATGGTGGCCATGGATAACCGCCTCGTGGGCCTGAAAGGAGACAGTCAACAGCTTTCTGGTCAACGCACTGCTGTGCCATGGGATGCCCACAACGCTTCCTCCCTCATTTCATCAGGGTTTCTCTCATACTCACCTTCCCTGACTGCCCTGGGTTAAAACTGCACCCTCACCCCTGCTCATTGCTTTCAATTTAATTTTATCCCTAGCACAGATACCCTCTAACACACGTCATATATTTTATTCCTTATGGTCTCTCTCCTGTCAACTAGAACGGTTCCTGGAATGGTGGTTCAAATGCAATGTGTAGCGGGTTTCATTCTACAAACGAATGAAAGAGCAGCTGGGCCTTGTCTTTGCCAGGAAATCTACAGGTGTGCCTCATTTCTAAGGTACCAGTTAACTTACAAGGCTAAGTATTAACTGGTTTCACCCTTGCTTGCCCGCAAAGAAATCTGTTTCTAACTATTCCTTTTACCTGTTCAAACATAAACGCAAATTCCACACTGTCTTTCGGCACGTTGTCTGTGTCCAGGAAGCAGTAAAGTTTGAAGTAGAATTTCCATGGCAGGTCCCCCACCTCGGACGTGGCAGCCAGCCTACAGACAGGAGTCAAGAGAGGCTCAGAAAACGAACGAGAGGGGCCTTCGGTGACCCGCAGGGAGCTGACTTGACATGGTGTATTCTAAGGACACAGACATTCTGTCCAGGCCCAAATAACAGTGGATAGAGATGGGGACAGAGAAATAAACAGTGAAAAACGTACTTTCACCCTGATTTTGCTTTAAGAAAACAAGCAGACAGCCTCTGGTTAAACCAGCTAACAAGTGTTTTCTGAGAGCCGCATTCGAATTAGTACCAGCTAAGCATTATGCTGAGTTCACGGGAAGAAAAGAAACAAAAGCCTGTTTCTTTATTATCTTTACCAAGCCCCAGATACATTATGAGAACATTTATAAGAACTGATGTGAATATTCTTGTATGAGGGCTGTGTTTATACTAAGCAGGAATACCTTCCGTGCTACTTAGACAATATGAAGTCACAGATCAAATATCGTAGGTCTATTATAGGCTGGGTGCGGTGGCTCACCCCTGTAATCTCAGAACTTTGGGAGGCCCAGGTGGGCAGATCACCTGAGGTCAGGAGTTTGGGACTAGCCTGGCCAACATGGCCAAACCCTGTCTGTACTAAAACTACAAAAATTAGCTGGGCGTGGTGGTACGTGCCCGTAATCCCAGCTACTCGGGAGGCTGAGGCAGGAGAATTGCTTGAACCCAGGAGGCAGAGGTTGCAGTGAGCCAAGGTTGTGTCACTGCATTTCAGCCTAGGTGACAAAGCAAGACTCTGTCTCAAAAAAAAAACCCAAAAATCGTAGGTCCATTTTATGTTGTAGATATAAAACATAGTTTCAAGAGTTTATGAGTTGACTTCAGTCAGTCAGCCCAATTTCAAAGCTAATGGCAACTGGAAACCTAAAATATCAAGAAATACCCAGACAGGTCCAATATGGAACTGAGAAAAGGAATGGGGTAAAAAACCACTGACAAGTTGCATCATGTAAGACCATGGCTTTATCTAGGAATTGAGAAAAATAGCTAGCAGATATGCAAAGTTAAACAGGCATCAACCCAGGTAAAATAAAACTAACTCCAATACACTGTGAAGCCAAAAACGGAATGGAAGTTCAAACCCTCAACCCTGCTCTGTAATTTCTCGTATTTGCTCTTCTGACACAGTAGGGGAAAGGAACTTACTTTTCAAACTTTGCTAAGACATCAGCCACAACGGTTCGACTTTCAATGGCTTTGTCGACGTGGCCGTTGTATTCAAACAAAGCAAACATGTTCCTGCTGTCCTCCATGGCGAGGCCTCGGATCAGCTTCTCCACCACCTGGAAGACACACCAGGGGGCCTTCAGGTCCACAGGCTGCGGCCCCAACACGTGTTCCCAGATGTGCCATCACCAGATCCCAGAGGGCGCTGCCGGCACCAGGGCGTCTCCAAGCAGCTTCCTCAAAATGTTACCCGTGTGGTCATCGCAGAATTTCAAAAGTACTATTTCCCCTTGTTCTCTGGAAATCAGATTTCTCTCTTTCTTGCCAAAAAGAACCCAGGGTATTTTGCCCATTGGTAGAGGCAGATGCTGGGCTGATTTCTTGCAAACCTATATTAACCGGAAAAGTGGGTGAAAAGCTGCAGTCCTGTCTTTTATCTGATACATGTATGAACTTGAAGGAACAACAGAGCAGATGATGGTTTTTTTTTTTTGCACAGGAAGCCTTGGGGGTGGGGTTGAGGGTGGTTATTGGATTACCCTTTTGGCCAATTAGTTTTAGAATAGTAAGTTCAAATTTAAATAAGAAAATGTGTTCGTCTGATGTTCATCTAGCTAGTCATGTGGCACACAGAAACACTTGGTTGCAGAAGCACCACAATAAACCCTCATCAAAGTGGCTGGACCTGAGCCAGGTCTGCAGCTCTGCTAGACCCTCAGCTGCTTCTCAGATTAACAAGATTATGTCTCACGTACTTTATCTCTGTGATTCCACTCATCTTATTTTTCTCTCTATATTCATGTGGTTGCTTGTGGGTTACATGCATTTCCTTAGTACTGAGCAGCTGTACTAAGCAAATTGCAGCTGTGCAGGACAGCCGCTCTAACGCCGCACGATGTTCCTGACCCGGGCGTATCTGCAGCAAAGCATCTAACAGAACAAGCAGCCGCCGCCTCTCCTCACCTCCCCAGCGGTGGTGTGGGAGTTGATGGTGATCTTGCAGGAGCCTCCACCATGGCAATAGACCGTGGATGTCATTTCCTGCCTGTGGATCAGAGCTTCTATTTCATCTCGGGAAGGCACAAACTCTCGGCATTTGGTTTTCTTAAGAGATTCGTAAGTGAAGAGAGCGTATTTTTCCATCTCGGTTCCTGGAAACTGTTCCCGTATCCTAGGAGACAAACACTAACTGTTCATTTTTAGGCTGCTGGGAACTGGGCTGTGTCAAGGGTCTGTAGACCAAAGCGGTGAATGGTCCCCCACTGGTGAAGGGAGCAAGCACCAGTGACTTCTTGGCAAGGGCCCGCTTCATTCTGTGCAGTTCAATTTAAATACAAAAAACCCCTAAAGAGCGAATGTCTCAGTGGGAGCAACTGCTGCCAACTCACCTCTGCAGTATTGTTAATACTTGAAAGGGTCATGCCTCATACTATCACATGAAAATTATTGGCCAGGTGCCGTGGCTCACACCTGTAATCCCAGCACTTTGGGAGGCAGAGGCGGGTGGATCACCTGAGGTCAGCAGTTGGAGACCAGCCCAGCCAACATAGTGTAAACCCTGTCTCTACTAAAAATACAAAAAAACTAGCCAGGCATTGTGGCGGGTGCCTGTAATCTCACATACTTGGGAGGCTGAGGCAGGAGAATCGTTTGAACCCAGGAGGTGGAGGGTGCAGTGACCGAGATCATGCCATTGCACTCTAGCCTCGGCAACAAAAGCAAAACTGTCTCAAAAAACAAAAAAAAAAATTTCTTTTTCTATAGCTAATCAAAATCTCAATCAGATTGTTTCTACCTCTTTGATCTGGAACAAATATCCACTTTTGTTTTTTTTTTAATATAGAGTAGTGGTAATTAATGGATTGATCCAATCTCCTATACATTAGGACATTACACCCAAGGTGACTTGGTCCCTGAAATAACCTTGTGTGGCTTAAAAAGAAAAAGGATGGCAGCATTCTGTAAGCTTGCTCAGGCAACTCACGAGTCTGACCCAGAAGTCCCTGTCCTACTAGAGGTGCCTTCTGCTCAAGAGCCTCTTTATCTGAGCGAGGACCCAGCGCCCCACCTGCGTGAGCAGCTCTGCCCAGCTCATCTCCCGTGCCCACATGCTTTATTTACCTTTTCAGATGGAACTTGAGATACTTGAGAATCCCTCGACTCGGCAGGAAGGTGCAGCTCAGGCATGTCAGGATCTGCCAGCTGTACAGGTTGCCCACACTGCCGGGGTGGGGCACTTTGTTGGTCTGTTTGATGAGCTGGCAGTACAGCTCGTCCCGGCCGCAGGTCATGCCCTGTCTGTAGGATGCCCTGGATTATTGGAATCGGGTCAGACATGGACTCCAGTTGCTGCAGGGAATTGAATATCTTGATAGCCTCATCCTGAAGGGTGGTATAGCCTTTGTCTTTAAGCACTACGACAAGCAAAGCAAACACAGAAGTCACCCGAGGGGTTCAGAATAGGGTGTGGGCACAATGGGAGCAGTAGTGAAGACAAAGGAATAAATGAGGAGGATGGATGCAATGCCCACCACACTCCCTATACATCTCAGTCAGCTGAACACCGATCTAAAAGCACAGAGGTGGGTCAGGTGACACTGTTTTGTTATCTAATTGAACTTCTTACCACATAGAATGCTTACTTAAAAGGTAATCTGTTGCTGAACAAAATCCTTTTTTGGAATGCAAGATTACTTAGGCTCTGGTTGTCTGGCTACTTGGCCAGGTGCAACAGCTCACACCTGTAATCTCAGCACTTTGGGAGGCTGAGGCAGGCGGGTCACTTCAGGCCAAGAGTTCAAGACCAGCCTGGGCAATATGGCGAAACCCTCTTTCTATTAAAAATACAAAAATTAGCTGGATGTGGTGACGGGTGCCTGTAATCCCAGCTACTTGGAAGGCTGAGGCAGGAGAACGACTTAAACCTGGGAGGCAGAGGTTGCAATGAACGGAGATTGCACCACCGCACCCCAGCCTGGGTGACATAGTAAGACTGTCTCCAAAAAAAAAAAAAAAGGCTACTCTCAGTTCATGAGGAGAGCTGGCATTTCTGACTCCTTTAAATCTCTTCTTTTACTACAGCAATCAATCTTAGCATTACTACTACCACACTCTAGAAGTCTTGCTTTAGTAATGAATCTAAGTATTTTTCATCTTTTCCTTCCAAGTCATGATGAATAAGAGAGTCTTTGAGCTAAAAACAAATGCTACTGTGTTAAGCTAAAGAGCTAGCAGGGCAAGTGGAATCATGGTCTCTGAAGAGTCGGGGTGGAACTCTGGACTTACAGTTGAGATTTATGTCCCCGTACGGAAGGGGCAGGAGTGGAGAGTGCAAGGGGTGATGGGTGTATCGAAGGATCGGGTTCCGCTTGTAAATCTGTTCCACCACATCCGAGTTCAGGCAGTTCTCCTAAAAATAAAGCAAGCAAGCTTATTGTAAGAAACCTGGACCTAAAGGAACAAAATCAACTGTATTTTCCTACATATAAATATTTTTCAAGAGTCTCAAACATCCATAAACCTAGTGGGGCAAAGATGGTGGAAATCCAGTGTTAGGTGATTTCATGCACGAAGATCCTCATAATCTGTGTTTGAAGACAAGTCACAAAAATACATTCTTACAGCTCATTTCTTTTTTTTTTTGAGATGGAGTCTCGCTCTGTCACCCGGGCTGGAGTGCAGTGGCCCAGTCTGGGCTCACTGCAAGCTCCACCTCCCGGGTTCATGCCATTCTCCTGCCTCAGCCTCCCCAGTAGCTGGGACTACAGGCGCCCGCTGCCACACCCGGCTAATTTTTTGTATTTTTTAGTAGAGACAGAGTTTCACCGTGTTAGCCGGGATGGTCGCAATCTCCTGACCTTGTGATCCGCCAGCCTCGGCCTCCCAAAGTGCTGGGATTACAAGTGTGAGCCACTGTACCCGGCCTACAGCTCATTTCTTAGTTTCTCGCACATGCATTTCCCCATGTGATTTTAAATTTTCTCCCCTGGAGATTACATACACTTAAAAAATTTCATCTCGGCAGGGCGCGGTGGCTCACACCCGTAATCCCAGCACTTTGGGAGACTGATGCAGGTGGATCATGAGGTCAGGAGTTTGAGACCAGCCTGACCAACATGGTGAAACCTTGTCTCCACTAAAAATACGAAAATTAGCTGGGCGTGGTGGCGGGCACCTGTAATCCCAGCTACTCAGGAGGCGGAGGCAGGATAATTGCTTGAACCCGGGAGGCGGAGCTTGCAGTGAGCCAAGATTGCGCCATGGCACTCCAGCCTGGCTGACAGAGCGAGACTCCATCTCAAAAAAAAAAAAAGAGAAAACAATTTAATCTAGGCTGGGCACAGTGGCTCATGCCTGTGCATTTTGAGAGCCTAAGGCAAGAGGATCAGTTGGGCCCAGGAGTTCGAGACCAGCCTGGGCAACATAGTGAGGCCCTGTCTCTATAAAAAACAGAAAAGCAAAATTAAAAAGTTAATCTGATCTTCTTTTATTGCTTTAGCCATCAGTAGCTAAATCATGTTATTTTTATCTATAGTTCATTTCATAAGCACATTTTGCTAGTTCTTGAATTGCTGTTTTCTATTCTCTCTATACCTGAAAACTACACACATTAATATATTCTTGGGGAGACTGTCCTTCCACGTGCCTGCCCACCCTTCCACCCTTGAAACGTAAGAAAGTCTCTCACGGAATTTCATCATCATGTACTTGTGCTCCTAAAATGTTCATCTGGGATATGAAAAAACAAAGTTACTTTTAGAACCTTAAATAAACAGAAAAGTTGGAGGAGAGGTAATGAATCATTCTATCGTGGTAATTTCATTTCCACTATAAAACTTTTTCAGTAATACCCAATTGAAGGGCACAAAAAATTTTTTTAATTACTTAAATAATTTCTATGGACTGATTTAGGGTAACCTGACTCATTTCTTAAGAAGCATAGCTTTGTATTTGAAAAATTATATTTATTCTTTTAATGTCTAAATTCAAAATGATTCAAACAATTTCATGGACAAACAAAAAACAAAAAACAACTGGCTTGCCAGAATCTGGTTCCAAACACCCAGAGAACGTAACACTTTGGAATCAGGAGGCCAATTTGACTTGGATGGAAAATTATCCACCACTGATGGATTAGATCCTCTCCCACCTCCACAAAAGCTGAGTTCCCTCTTAGATCTGGTTAGCTAATTTCCTTTGCTGTCCCTCAGTAAAATACCTGCCTCACCATCATTCTAGTACCTTCTCTGTCACAGCCCCACCTCTGTCCTTTGTCCTGGGAATCTGCCTGCAGGACTGCTTGGAGGGCCAGTAGTCTCCCTTGACTTGGTTCTGCACCTGGGACTGACCAGCTACGTGGGCAATGCAACCAGAACATTCCCCGTCAGCGTTCCATTTCCGAAAAGTGAGGGTAAGAATCCCCGCTCAGGGCTGCCATGCAACCATTCGTTCCTTCACCTCACATACATTTACTGAGCCACTACACTTACTTATAAACAGGAATTTATAATGTAACACGCTCAGTGTTAGTATCGAGACTCAGGAGCTTCTGGGAGTTTGCACGTGTCCGAGAGGGATGCCAGGTGTTCTTCTAGACCACCCAGGGCTCCTTGGGAACTCACTCGTGTGGTCTGGAAACTGTACAGTGACAATGGAACTAGCGGGTTACTCCTAGAAGGTCCCCAACTGAGGCTGAGGTGAAACCTGACACAAGGCACGTGGTCCCCCACGCAGGTCACCACATCCCCATGGGCACGGAGTCCCACAGTGCAAGCTGCAGACCTTGTCCTTCTGCCCACAGAGCCCAGCAGGTGGGATCGGGTGACTCAACACTAGGGAAGTGTTAGGAAACATCTAACACTGCCCTAGAGACAAAACACTTTTGGTCTAAAATTTCTCATTTAGATTCCTGAAAGCAGGGTACTCAAACATAAATTTAACCACGCGCTAGTTTTTTGTTTTGTGTTTTGAGACGGAGTCTCCCTCTGTCGCCCAGGCTGGGGTACAGTGGAATGATCTCTGCTCACTGCAACCTCTGTCTCCAAGGTTCAAGCAAGTCTCCTGGCTCAGCCTCCTGTGTAGCTGGGATTACAGGAATGTGTCACTAACACCTGGCTAATTTTTGTATTTTTAGTAGAGACACGGTTTCACCATGTTAGCCAGGTTGGTCTCGAACTCTTGACCTCAAGTGATCTACCTGCCTCAGCCTTCCAAAGTGCTGGAATTACAGGCGTGAGCCACCGTGCCGGCCAACCAAGCACTAGGTTTTGATTACAGAATGAAAATTGAGCTTCACTAATGCTGCGGTCTTAGTGCGCTAAGGGTGGAAGCTCTGAGCTGTAATCACCCACCTTGATGGGCTTGTCTTACCTTGATGTCTTGAATCAGCTGCTGGGTGGGGGTGTCGATCGGGGCCTTGGTGTCGGTCACGTTTTGAATGGCACTGGACCACCGGGTGGCCTCATTGAGCAGCTTGGTGTAGAGCCGGTAACAGTGCTTGCGCCCATACACGGTGACGTTCCAGTAGCCTGCAATGGCAGGGGTGCCCAGCACACGCATGTCAACGCCAACCTCGGGGACTGGGGCAATGCCTGTGTCCTCTCTGACCTCAGTCCCTTTAATTATTCAATTCAATAGATACTGGCTGAATTCCTACCTGTGTCCTGCCCTGCACTAGGTATCTAGTGATGAAGAAAAAACAGTGTCTCTTGCACTGTGACATTTACAGCTGAGACGGGGAGATGAATATTAGAACAATAAACCCATCATGAAATATATGAAGATAAATGATAACTGGCTCTGGAAGGGAAAAGGGTAAGTTAATGTCTCTTTCTGGGCTCTGGATCAGGAGTGAAAACTCTCTCCGATTTCTGACTTTCCTTCTTACTTCCTATTTCTTCCTTTCCTTTCCTTAGCCTCTCCCTTCAGAAGACAGCACTTGTGCCTGGCAGTGTGTGAGTTCAGAGGCAAACTGTCCGAACCATCACCCAAACCTGACGCGAATGGAACAACTATGTTAAACAGAAGCACAAGATCACAACCAGCAACATCAAAATAAACTATCTTCTGGAAACACTTTTATAATACTACAAAAATGAAAAGAAATCCTCTAATTTACATGTGTGCTTTCTATGCTACTAGGCTAAGTAAGTTCATGGACAGTCAGGGTTTATCTTTTACAGGTTGTATAGGACGCTCATTGTACAATGATGGAAAACAGCCTGGCCCACATGGCAAAACCTCCACCACAAAGTATAAAATTAGCCCAGTGCGATGGTGCGTGCCTGGAGTCCTAGCTACTCCTCAGGAGGCTGAGGTGGGAGGATTGCTTCAGCCTTGGAAGGCTGCAGTGAACCATGATTGCACCATTGCACTACAGCCTGGGCAACAGTGTGAGACCCTGTCTCAAAAATAATAAGAATAGAAATTAAAAATAAAAGGATGAAAACAGAGTATATGAAAACAAAGCTTCCTGTACGATGCCCTGCATCTGTTGACATTTTCTTGTCCTTGCGAGAGTCTTCCTACCACTCCATGAGTCAAGACCTCTCGTACGGCTTAAACACTAAGTGGTCACATAGCTAACCCCAGACAGGCTTAGAAGATAAACCAAGAAGACACCTTCTTTGGGGGGAAATAAAGTGGACACTAGGAAAGAATCTTATTCCTTGCCTGGAGCAAGCCCAGACTTTAAGATCTGATGCTCAGGGTTCGGGCAGCCAGCCTGGTTACCTGTCTCTTTGAATATCTTCTCATCTGGGGGGACGACAGAGCAGAGGCTGTTGAGGACCAGGGTCCCCAGTTTCAGCGCATTCTTCTCTGAGCTCTTGTAGTAATCCAGGGAATTGTGGGTGAGTACAAACCACCGTTTCTTCAGTTTCAGTGAAGACATCTTTGGACTGTTCTTCACCTCTTTGTGCAACCATCCTGGAAAAAAAAGATGAAAGTGTAAATTAAAATCTATGAGGAGAAACCCCAAACACCATACCATCATCCACATAATGCCAACACATGGATGGGGTTTCTAGCTACTTGTCAGAAAAAGACCATGGTCACCCCAACTCGATGTAAACGGAACTATGCGAAAGAAAAGCACAAAATCACAACTAGCAACAAAAAACACAATCCTCTAGAAACAATTTATAATGTCACAAATTAAAAATCACTTAAAAAATCTCCAACAGTTAAAATGGGAAAAGCAGCTCAAAATGAAAATGCTGCAGATATCTATATGCAAATGGAAAGGGGAGCCTGTTAAACAGACCAAGGAAGCAGGGCAGGCAGTCACCTCTCACGATGAATTCCTGGCCCTCCACTCTGGTGTCCCCTTTGGACCGCTGCAGCAGGGTTATCCAGTGGTGCATCTCCTCCGGCGTGTCGGCGTTGCAGTGCAGCACCCGGTTGGCCGTGATGATGACAAACGAGTTGGGTCTGAGCGACAAGGTGAGAAGGAAACAAAGCCCCTTAGGTCTACCGTCAGCATCACCTCTGTGTGAACCGAGACTCAGGGCCTTCTTCCTGCCTTCTGGGTCACGGGACATACACTGCTAGGCTTATTCATGTTTTTATTAAGGCAAACCTTGCTCATTTCTGCGGAATTTCTTTTACGCATCATTAACCTTTAAACTTGGAACGACACATTCATTCTGAAGGTCCTGGAAGGGAAAACATTTCTTCATGCAAAACTTTCCAGATGAAACTCAGTTCCGGGAAGGCTAAATAAGGTGACCGACCATGAGGGAAAATTTTTTTTTGATGCCTCTCCAAAGTCAATTTTTTCCTGCCTTGGGTAATATTTCTCTGGGTTGGTAATGAAATGTCAGACACCAGCAATAAAAGAGGATCAGTAAATAGGTGTAGGTGGAACATCTTAAATGCTTGATTACGCTTTGTACAAAAAGCCACCTGGGTTTGTGTTTTCAAAGGGATCTAACAAGGGTGCATTTCCTAGTCATGGATAACGTGATCATGGAAATTTACTTTCTCCCTTGCCTCTTTTTGTCTGGAAATGCCCTGAACCTCTCTCATAGGCCCTTGCTGATATAAATACTAACTCCTCCATCTAACGGCTTACGCTAGCGAATGTGAACTCTTTCTTGCAAGTCTTCAAATGTTCACTGTAGTTAAGTGACACAAAGGTTTAAGAAAAAGAGTCACTGAACTGCAGGACACAGGCAAAACTATGCAAACAGGCTGAACTTGAGGTGCCCCTTAAAAATAAAAATAAAAAACCCAACCCTTTTTTTTTTCTATAGTTGGAAAGGGAGAAAAGTGGCCAGCTGAGGACGACAGAAAAGCCTGAACGAGGATGCAAAATTCTAAGGATGGATCATCACAGGCCCAGCCTGGAGGAGTGAAGGGCTTGGGAGAGCGAAGACGTGGAGAAGGTGAGGTAGAAACTCACATATCAGAATAAGCAGCATCAGGGCTTTGATTACTGATATGACACATACATGTTAAAGATTGAGCCAGGTATAAGGGGTGCAGGCTGACTACTAAAGACAAAGGATCCATGGTTCAGAAGGGCCTTTGTCAATGGGAGGGTGACAGAGACCCCACGGCTCTTAATTCTGCCAAGTAGGCCCTATATTTTGTTGTCAATTTTCACACACTCGTATTTCATTTTCCAGCTGTCTTACTGAGGGCAGAAGACAATTTTGATTCTTTCCTGGTCTGTCCTAGAGAAACTTTTCTTAAATTCTGCTGCAGAATTTGTTTTTATTTTGTTGTGTCCTGATTTTATTGTGTCCATTGATTAAATTTTACACTTCTTCTCCCAAGAAACTTTATTTCAAGTTTTTCTGATGAGGAAATAAAACGTGATTTCCAAAGTAGGGTTTTGTAACTTTGTGTATGTGTCTGGGATAGAGGGAAGACAAAGAATACAATTTAGATTTCGGCCCAGCGCAGTGGCTCACGCCTGTAATCCCAGCACTTTGGGAGACTGAGGCATGCGGATTGCCTGAGCTAAGGAGTTCGAGACCAGCCTGGGCAACATAGTGAAACAGAACTAGAACTTACAAGATAATACAGAAAAACAGACAATAAAGTTCACTGGGCAGAAAGACGCCTCAGATCATCTCCAAAGATGATTTGCCTTCAAAAATCGAACCCAAAAAGGGTGCCAAGGAAAATAAATGTTTGTGGTTTATTAATACTCTACATATACATTATCATCAAAATCCTTTCCAAGTTCATTGTTAAGTTCAGAAAGGAGAATGACTCCCTTCCCCTTTGCTGGAATATCATTTTCCTAAACAGGTATTTTCTTCCCGTATAAATCCCAAGTTTGTCCCTGTATACACATGAAAAATAGTTATTCCTCATGCTTTTTTAAATTGTCTAAATTAGGTTCCCAGGGTTTTCCCCAGGACTTCAAAGATACGCAGAGAAGGAGACTTTCAGATGATGTAAAATTGGGTACCAAGAAGGCAGACTTCGGATTGCTGGGGTTGACAAGGTGGGAACACACAGCCTCGTGTGATTTCACAGCCCTGCGAAGAGGGACGTAACCAGCAGCACAGACACCTGTGGACACACACAGGTGATGAGCTGTTTTTATTAAGAGCCACATCTGAGCTTACCTATCAGGGCTGTCAGAGGCACACACAGAATCAATCAGCCCCACATCCAAGGTGCCCTAGAAAAGAACAAAAAGGAAAGAGAATGAGAGAACCACTAAAGTAGGGTGCACACTATAGTAACACCTCTAGCCCACTCCCAATCAGATAGAAAAGGCTCTTTTCTTTTTAACTTCAAAATAATAGTCATCTATGAGATGACTCCTCTGTTGTGTGAGTACAAATAGCCTCTACAGAATCTATAGCCCATTTATTTTTAAAAATTACGAGTTAATCATTCCCTCTTGTCCTTTCAATAATTTATTTCTATGTTTTTAAAAAATTAGTATTTTACTAAACTTTCTAACAAGTACCTCTACATTAATTTAATTTACTTTGTTTGTTTCTGAAAGAGTTTCACTCTGTTGCCCAGGCTGGAGCGCGATGGTGTGCTCTTGGCTCACCACAACCTCTGCCTCCCAGGTTCAAGTGATTCTCGTGCCTCAGCCTCCCAAGTAGCTAGGACTACAAGTGTGGGCCACCACACCTGGATAATTTTGTGTTTTAGTAGAGATGGGGTCTCGCCATGTTGGCCAGGCTGGTCTCAAACTCCTGGCGCCCTCAGGTGATCCACCTGCCTTGGCCTCCCAAAGTACTGGGATTACAGGTCTGAGCTCCCTCCCCCAGCCCCCCATTCTTAAAACAAGCTCAGTGAACAGTGTTTATAACCTTCTTTCAGTAGTACACATTTCCTGATTTTATTGTGTCCTTCGATTAAATTTTATACTTCTCCCAAGAAACTTTATTTCAAGTTTTTCTGATGAGGAAATAAAACGTGATTTCCAAAGTAGGGTTTTGGAACTTTGTGTATGTGTCTGGGACAGAGGGAAAACAAAGAATACAATTTAGATTTCGGCCCAGCGCAGTGGCTCACGCCTGTAATCCCTGCACTTTGGGAGACTGAGGCATGCGGATTGCCTGAGCTAAGGAGTTCAAGACCAGCCTGGGCAACATGGTGAAACCCCGTCTCTACTAAAATACAAAAAATTAGCCGGGTGTGGTGGCACACGCCTGTAGTCCCAGCTACTCAGGAGGCTGAGGCAGGAGAATTGCTTGAACCTAGAGGTGGAGGGTACAGTGAGCTGAGATCTCGCCACTGCACTCCAGCCTGGGCGACAGAGTAAGACTCCATCTCAAAAAAAAGAATACAATCTAGATTTAGATTTCACCATCCTCTGAAGAGTAAGTGTAATGTGTGTTTCCATGACTTCATAAAAAGTAGGATTATTTCTTTTGTTCTTTTGGGTTTGAGGTGGAAGAATTGGAAGGTATTACTACTTATAACCTTCTACAATTTATTTGGTTTTGTTGTTTGTTTTTTTAGGAGAGAGGGTCAGGCTGCTGGAGCTCAGTGGTGCAATCGTAGCCTGAAATTCTCAGGCTCAAGCAATCCTCCTGCCTCAGCCTGCCAAGCAGCTGGGACTACAGGCACATAACACCACGCCTGGATAATTGTTAATTTTTTTCATAGAGGCAGTGTCTTGCTATGTTTCTCAGGTTGGTCTTGAACTCCTGGCCTCAAGTGATACTCCCACCCCAAAGTGCTGGGACTACAGGCATGAGCCACAGTGTCCAATTTAATTTACTGTATTTATTATTGTATTATTATATTATATTGTACTATTGTATTTATTATTGTATTGATTTTAAACTCAAATGGTCCTGTTTTTCTCCTTAATTATTCTACATTTACCTTTTAAAAAAAAGACTGTCTGGAAATTCCCAATCTTTCCCTTTTTTACCATCCTGACGCCCTCCCCATCCCTGCCCCCAGACGCCCCACCCCCATCCTAGGTAGTGCTCCCATACCACAGCATTCTGTGGGTTTGCCTGCTCATCATGCATCTCCTGGATCTCCTGGTCTGTGGACGCATGGACCTGACTCAGCACGCTGAACCACTGGCTGTGGGGAAGAGAGAACAACTGTGAAGGGGAGGCCCACCTCGTACTGGTAAAGCAGTAGCGCTCTACTGCACGTAATCTGTGAAAATGACATCTCCAAGCACCTTTGCTTTTAATTTGATTACTTCTTAGGGATAAATGTCGGTTTCATTACCAAAGAATAAAGTGAGAAGAAGCAGATAAAGTACCTGTAAATGCCTTTAAGTGCTCTATTATGTTCTAACTTTAGATCAATGGACGGCCTTTTCTCCAGGTCCCATAGACCTTTATAGACATTTGACAATGATGAATGAGTTCCTTGAGAAATTAACAGCAAATAATAAAATCCTCAGTTCTACCCAAAATACTTGTATCAAAGATCCTTACTTAAGATATTATTTATAAACTAGGGAACATTCAGGTGCTTTTTCTGTTTAAAAAATAAATTTCGGCTGGGCACGGTAGCTCATGCCTGTAATCCCAGCACTTTGGGAGGCCAAGGTGGGCGGATCATGAGGTTAGGAGATCAAGACCATCCTGGCTAACATGGTAAAACCCCGTCTCTACTAAAAATACAAACAAACTAGCCGGGCTTGGTGGCGGGCACCTGTGGTCCCAGCTACTCGGGAGGCTGAGGCAGGAGAATGGCGTGAACCCAGGAGGCGGAGCTTGCAGTGAGCTGAGATCGTGCCACTGCACTCCAGCCTGGACGACAGAGTGAGACTCCGCCTCCAAAAAAATATAAATAAATAAATAAATAAATTTCAAGGTGAGAAGATCAATACAGGTTTAGCATCCACAATCCAAAAAAATCTGAAATCTGAAATGCTTCAAAATTCAAAACTTTTTGAGCACCGACATGATGCTCAAAGGAAACGCTCACTGGAACATTCTGAATTTTCAGATTAGGGATGCTTAACCGGTAAGTCTAATGCAAATATTCCAAACTCCAAAAACTGCAACACTTCCAGTCCCAAGCATTTTGGGTAAGGGATACTCAACATGTAATGGAAGAGTATCATATTGGAATGGACACTAGATGTCTATTTAGATGTCTATTTGTTGTTTTTTTTTTGAGATGGAGTTTCAGTCTTGTTGCCCAAGCTGGAGTACAATGGCACGATCTTGGCCACCGCAACCTCTGCCTCCCGGGTTCAAGTGATTCTCCTGCCTCAGCCTCCCAAGTAGCTGGGATTACAGGCGCACGCCACCATGCCCAGCTAATTTTTGGTATTTTTAGTAGAGATGGGGTTTCACCATGTTGGCCAGGCTGGTCTTGAACTCCTGACCTCAGGTGATCCACCCACCTCAGCCTCCGAAAGTGCTGGGATTACAGGCATGAGCCATTGTGCCTGGTCAAGATGTCTATTTTTTCTATGTATTCTCAGGATGGGGTTTTCAACCACCTAACAGCATTTCTACTCAAGTCAATAAAACCACAGGAGAGTTGGAAATGAAAAATAACTGCTTAAAGTAGAAAACTATTTTGACCAGAGAACTCTTCCATCTTCATTTCAAATGAGTACTCTCACACCCAGCCTCATCACAATCAGAAAACAAAGGAAAACGTGTCTGGGCATGGTGGCTCACGCTTGTGATTCCAGCATTTTGGGAGGCCAAGGTGGGAGGATGGCTTAAGCCCCGGAATTTGAGACCAGCCTGGGAAACTTACTGAGGCCCAGTCTCTACAACAAATAAAAAACTAGCTGGGTGTAGTGGTACATGCTTGTAGTCCCAACTACTTGGGAGGCTGAGGCAGGAGTATCACCTGAGCCCAGAAGGCCAAGGCTGTAGTGAGCCATGATCGTTCCACTGCACTCCAGCCTGGGTGACAGAGCAAGACTCTGTCTCACAAAAAAACAAATACAAAGTGAAACAAAATGAAACAACTCAAGAAAAATCAAGCAGAACAAGGCATCATGAAAGTGACCATGAACAAACAGGCATCCATCCAGCATTTGCTGACCAAATACGAAATATCAGAGCTATCAAGTATGAAAGAGATGCTAGGGTATCCTTTCCTGTTCGGGGCATATAAGACACAAAATACATATACACTCCTACCATTCAAGGCAGAGGGGAAAGTAGTTGGTATCCAATGGGATGTTTAAGTGAAAAAATGACACCCATATGTAAAGGTAGGCCATGCAAATTATTTACAGCAAAGCACTAAAATCTATCTCCTGTGCTTCCTAAGGGAGAAAAATGTGACTACAAGCTTGAAAAATATTCAACATATACAACAGATATGCATATATAGCTTGTACACAACAAGGGACAACACTTGAATATAAATTTGCACTATCCATTCTGGTTAACCAAACAGCAAGACTTCACTGCTTTGCTCATCTCAAAAATATCCCAAATTAAACACTGAAAAAGACATACATTCAAGTTGTAGGAATCACACACACAAAGGCATAAAATTTGTTGTACTTTCGATTCTGTCTAGATTATACTCTTAAATTTATAAATTTCTTCTCTTGATTCAAGTATAACTTGGAATCTGAAAAGGAATTTTTTTAAAAAGTGTTCCACTGGTCAGGAGAAAAAGTCCTTGGCTAAAATATTCCAAAGGTTAAATTTAGCAGGTTCATCATGGCATAAAACAGACAGCGCAGCTGCCAAACGCCAGGCCTATAATTCAGCTGAAAAGCTGCAGGCATTCCCTGGGCCACAAACAACCACATGTGGTCTCTAGGAGCCCCAGACGGAATGATGGGCTGTAATTCCAGGTTTGCTTGTTTTTCCAGTTTGTGTTAGAATTTATGGGTCTAAGCAGGGTTTTAGTTTGTTCCCATGGGAAGAATTATTTTCTGGTGTCTTTACTCTTAATGTCGCTACCATGGTATTGCATCAACTCAGAAAGATTCAAAGGGCAAGGGGTAGTGAGGGGTCCTGAGAACACATTAGAAGGTCCTAACAATCTTGGGGCTGAGAATTGAAGAAGCTATTGGATGTTACCCTCATAAATTAAAAGACATTCTCAGCCAGGCGTGGTGGCTCACGCCTGTAATTCCAGCATTTTGGGAGGCCAAGACGGGTGGATCACTTGAGGTCAGGAGTTCGAGACCAACCTGAACAACATGGAGAAACCCTGTCTCTACTAAAAATACAAAATTAGCCGGGCGTGGTGGCACATGCCTGTAATCCCAGCTACTCGGGAGGCTAAGGCAGAATTGTTTGAACCCAGAAGGTGGAGATCGCGGTGAGCTGAAATCGCACCATTGCACTCCGGCCTGGGCAACAAGAGAGAAACTCCGTCTCAAAAAAAAAAAAAAAAATGTTCTCTAGCATTGCTCAGAGCTGAAGACAGACACCTCCAACATAACCCTGCAGACTCACAAAGTTGCAGGAAGAGACAGGACAGACGCTCCATGGTGTCTGATCCACCAGGGGACCTGTGATGCATCACACTGAAGAGCTAATGCTAAGTCTCCTTAATTTTGTGCTATGTCTCCTCAGCACTCCAGCATGGAAACCTGAAGTCCAGGAAGTTACAGACAACTTGCCCCAGCCAATGAAGGCCTCCACCCGCTTCTAATCTCAGTCGAAAGTTAAAGCTCCTTAGGAGGAAATGTTTTTAAGAAGTTCAATGTCCCCGTTCAACAGAATTGAGGTTGCACTGCATTACAAATGATACTAACCGTTCTCTGTACCCCAGTCTCCTATTCTGCAAAATATGGATGATGGTAATAATTAATGTCTACCTTGCAGGATTCAAGAGAATCAAAAGAGTTAGTATTTATAAAACATTTAGAATACTGCCTGAAATATTTAGGTATGAAACATTTAGAATATTAGCCTGAAATATAATTGCGATTACTTTTGCACCCAGCTAATAGTAAGTTCTGTGTAAGTTAGTACCTCTTCCACTGAATTCTTCAATATTAACATCTTTAAAACCCCCCAATGCCATAGCACTATCAGTTATGAAAACAGCTACCAGTTACTACTCCCTGCCCTTTTGGTCCTTATGCAAACACAAACAATTCACTTTCAAAGCTCAGAAGCTTCCAGAGGGTGGGCTTTCAGCTACATGCAGCTGTGTAATTCACACACGCTGCCGGTGACAGTAACAGCCTGAGACAGATGACAATGGGTCTAGTGGCACTGGAGGCTGGAAACCCTGGGCTGTACTTGAATACATTTGCCCAGAGAAAGAGTCCCCAAGGGACAAGTACACATCAATTTCTTATCACTCTTGGTTCCTCAACCATCCTAATAGAAAGTCAATTAAAATGGTCAAGGCCAGCATGGTAAACAGTGCTCTGTGGGACACTCACACCCGTGCATGAGGGAGCAGGACGTGGGTACTATGACGTCAACAGTGCAGACTCACCTGGCATCTTCTGGGGACTCTGCAATCAGGTGGAAAGTCCTATCGGCCATAATGATGTCGATCCCATTCTCCTTGGTGGTGTTATCTATGATCTCTCTGCAAAGGAGCAAAAGCAACACACGCACATCAGGAACACCAAACTCTGAGTAACTGAGGAAAGCAATTTCATGAAACCAATGACTAGAGTTGGGAAGTGTCTGTTACTGAAGAAACGGTACACAGTTGGCGCTCCGTATCTGTGAGTTCAGCATTTGTGGGTTCTGCATCTGTGGATTCAACCAGCAGCAGATCAAAACTAAAAATCCAATTTAAAAAATACTACTACTACAAATTAAAAAACAATACAGTGTAACTACTATTCACAATGCATTTGCATCATACTAGTTATTGAAGTAATCTAGAGAAGATTCGAAGTGTGTGGGAGAATATGCAGAGGTTACATGCAATGACTACATCATTTTATAGCAGGGACTAGAGCATCTGAGGATTTTGGTGGCTGCAGCGGGGAGGGGAGTGGTGGTTCTGGAACCCATCACACCAGAAGACATGGAGGGACATACAATTGTTTTCCTTTTAGTAATGATGACGATTCCCTCTAGGGGGAGCCGGGCTCCTCTCGGCTGCCCAGGGAGGAGGCTGCTGGTGTGGCCAGGGATAGCAGGGTTCCCCTGACTTCTCTAGGGGAGAAGCTCTCTCCCCTCATACTGGTCCACCCAATGCCCACCCCTGCTTAGGCCCCAGACAGGCCTGGGGCAGCAGCCCCCACTCCTGCCTGCAACTTCCTTTGGATCCTTTCTCCAATCTACAAAAGCCAACCTCGGCCTGGTGTGAGCTCCTTCCCTAACTCATCACAGCTCTCTCTCCCAGCTGAAGGCCATGGCTGCTGCATCTGACTCCTGCTTGAGATGTGCACATTATTTCCATGAGGGGTGCTGGGGGTGAGGCGCGGGATTTGGGTGTGTCTGATTCTCAGTACCATCTTGATCTCATCTGCAACCCTCCCTAAACAACATTAGGGAAATACAATTGGTGAACCAGGTTAACAAAATCAGGGTAAAACAGCAGCAGATGTTAGGATCAGAACAGAGATAGTAATACGTTTCATGAAGAAGGGTTTGGGGCATAAAGCCAGCTTGCTCTCGCAACTAAAGAAGTACAAATGTTCACAATGAAACATGTATTTTACAGCAACAAAAGCTAAATATCTTGCGTTGTAAACTAGAGTAGTTCTGACTCTCATAGCTGATCATGTAGATGAGAATATTTTAAAATTCAAGATCAGGAGCTGGGCGCCAGTGGCTCACACCTGTATCCCAGCACTTCGTGTTAGGAGCCGAAGCGCGATGCCACTTGGTCAGCGTAGTTTGAGACCCAGCTGGCTCGAACATGGATGAAATTCCTTGTCTCTTACTAAACAGCAAGAAACATCAGCCAGGCGTTGGCGAGGTGCGCTCTGTTAGTCCCAGGCTACTAGGAGGCTGATGTTGCTTATAAGATTGTTCACTTGTTTTCTTCTGGGCGAGGTTTGCAGTGAGCTTAGTTTGTGCCTCTCTTTGTGTCCATTCTGCATTTCCTGCTCTCGTTTGACAGAGCGAGACTCTGTCTTAATATAATATATAATATAAAAAAAAAAAATAAAAAAAAAAAAAAAACCAAGGTCAGAATTACTGCTGCTGAATCGCAGGTGGACAACCAGCTACGTCCTCTTAAGCACTTCGTTACAGGAAATCAACACCAACCAAGTGAAGCATTCTTTGAAACAGAGAAGGAAAAACTGATTGATCGCCCTCTTATAGGTTGGATGGAGCAATTCAGCAAGATAAGGAACTGAGAAAGAGAAACGAGCTGTTCGTAACCCGGCGCATTACAGGGGTTGGGTGAAATGCAGAACCATGGGATAAGTGGCTAACGTCTCCATTACAAACGCAAGGTGAAGAAGACGGAGGCGGGCGCATCTATAAATTAAGAGAGACTCGAGTGATCTAAAACGGTGAAACATACGGAGACTCATTTGTGATTCTGGAATGAGAACGTAACTATAAAACCAACCCGAAACAACAGAACTACTCCACTCCACTGTACAAAAGGAAAACTGCAGACCGGGCGCGTGGCGTCCGCTGTGAATCCCGCGCCTTTGGTGAGGGCGAATGTCGTGCGATTCACTGAGGTTAGGAGTTCGGACCAGCCTGGCAATATGGTGAAACTCTGTCTCTATTAAAATACAAAATTGCAGGCATGTGGTATGGCGCCTGTACCCACTATTTCGTGAGCGGGCAGGAGATCGCTTTGAATGGAGGCATGAGGTTGCTAGTGGAGTCGATAGTTGTGCCACTGCACTCCAGCCTAGGCCACAGATGTGAGACTCAGTCTCTTTTAAATATTAATTATTATATCATTAATATAATGTAATAAAAATAAGGTCACTGCGGAAATCTGAACAATGACTGGAGTTTAGATAATATTAGGAGCTAATTTTTTTTTTAATGTGATAATGGTATTGTGATTATATATTGGAATGTTTAAATGCATACTAAATATTTACAGAAGAAATTACATGATAGTGACTTGCTGTAAAAGAAGGTAGTTTGTTGGGGGAGCGGACTGGATAGAACTGTGGATGAAACACTTGGCCATGGGTGGATAGCCACCAAAAGCTCTGGAATAAGTCCGTGTTTTGTTATGTTCTTCTACCCACTCTTGCCCATGATTGAAGTTTTCCATAATAATAACTCACTGTTCCTGTTCTATAGGAGGTGACAGAAATGGCTGAATAAGAGCTAACATTTCCATAACTCAGTATAATTCTGATGAAGCACCTGCGAATAGAGCTTTTATTAAGCAGCATACAAAGTGAGTTGCAAAAGAAACATACATCAGTGTACTCTGGTGAAATTCAATACTCTGCCTCCCACAAGCTTCTTGGTGCTTGCGGCCCCTTCTATGGGATAATTAAATGGAAACATCATGGCTGTAATCCCAGCACTTGGGAGACCAAGGCAGGCGGATGGCTTTGAACCCATGAGTTTGAGACCAGCCTGGGCAACATGGCAAAACCCCATCTCTACTAATAATACAAAAAACTAGCCTGGCATGGTGGCACACACCTATAGTCCCAATTACTCGGGAGGCTGAGGTGGGAGGATCACCTGAGCCCAGGAAGTTGAGGCTGCAGTGAGCCAAGATCGTGTCACTGCACTCCAGCCTGGGCAGTGGGAGTGAGACCCTGTCAGTCCATCAATCAATCAAGCCATCTATAGACAGATGAGGAACATGGTATGTGAGGCTGAGAGTAGATGGCAGAGGCAACAGAGGCATGCCTTGCTGTGAACACTTGCAAGATTCAGACCCAGGATTCTCACAAGCCTACTCCTGCACCTCATGAGCTCCAAAGGGACAGCCTGAAAATGTCCAATATTCTGCCGTCTGCAGAGACATGAGATTTCTCTTACAATCAAATACATAAAAGACTTCCCTCTCCTCATTTAACTTTCCACTTCACAATAAATACTTTTCTGAAGTTGCTGATGCTGGCTGATTAGAAACATTTTACTTTTAAGGCTCCTGACTTCAGGCATTAATTTGATCCCTCAAAGATTATTTTACTACTTTTCTAAGTATTTGAGGTCACTCAGTTTTGAGTGGAGAACGACTACTACAGGTTATCCCCAAACATGTTTTCAGGCTTAGTATCTAGTTACCCCAGAAAAGCAGCTGCCTGTAACTCCTAACTATTTTCTGGAAACATGACTTAGTCTTTAAGAAAAATAATAGGCCCTCAACAGTCCAAAGCTTTGGTTCTATAAGGGTGTGGCAGAAAAAGGGGCATGCTGGATTTGAAGACCAGCCCTGTTCCTCTCATTGCTGGGAATGGGGATGGCTAGTATAACTAACACTGGTATAACAGAAGACAAGTGATTCACTTCAGAGAACTCCGGTCTGTCTGCTTTTAATTTAGCTAATGTATCTGCTGGCTACAGCTGAAGTAAGGAATTGAAAGTGATGCATTAACCCATAAAAAGACTCAGTCACTTGTTCCAAATTCACACCATTCTTCCTCCACACATACAATTCCATTTCCACTGGGCAACTTCCAGGTCCAACTGGCTGGCCATCTTCCAAATGGCAGCCACGTGTCTGAGTGTAATCATAAAAAGCAAAGTACTCACGGATTAAGTCTTGCTTCCCAGTCTCCTAATAATTTAACCCACTGAACTGAATTATCAGGACACCTACTACAGGCTACTGCCACTGCAAGGAACTTGCACAGCGTGGCTCTGTGACCACCAGCATAAACCACTGAGCAACCCATCGGGCCACAGCCAGGCTTAGCAACCTACTTCGCCGTTCGCACTTCGACGGTGCCCTTGAGCTTCTCTTCGCTGTCGTTTTCAAAGTACATCAGCTTGGACTGGCGGAGGACAAACCAGCGCTTCTTCCAATTTCTCCTGGACAGTGTGGAGGAGCCCCCGCCTTTTTTGTGGAGCCAGCCTTGCTTGAGGGCCTCCTGCTTGGAGCGGAACCACAAGAAGGTTTCATCCTTGAGGACACACCAGCGGCGTTTCCAAGAGTTCATCAGGCCACCTGTTCCCCCCAAGATTGGGTAGAGAGGGGTGAAAGAACAGTCAGTCCAACTGGATGACAACAACATGTACAGCAGGTGTTAAGGTCTAGCCAAGCTTAGACTCGGCCCTAGCTGCAGCACCGCAGAGACCCCTCAGTGGGGAGAGGCACTGCTAGCTCACGTCTAGGGGCACTACACAGATGTCACACCAGCCGGGCTGGATTACACAAGAATCCTTATATCCAAAGGAGTTCCTGCTCACTTAGCTGAGAAAGCTTTGTAAGGAGCCAATAGAAAAGTAATGAACTAACACTGTAACCCAGGAATAAATCAAAAGCCAAGGGTGAGAACCATGTCCCTATGTAAGGATCAGGCTTATCTCCAAATGTCCCAGAGAGGGAAAATTATTTTAACATGGTGTCAAAGTTTACCAGTTTCTTTACCCGTTTTTTGGGCCAGGAGCAATGGCTCATGCTTGTAATCCCAGCACTTTGGGAGGCCGAGGAGGGTGGATCACTTGAGGTGAGGAGTTCGAGACCAGCTTGGCCAACATGGTAAAACCCCGTCTCTACTAAAAATACAAAAATTAGCCGGGAGTGGTGGTGCGTGCCTGTAATCCCAGCTACTTGGGAGGCTGAGGCAGGACAACTGCTTGAACCCAGGAGGAGGAGGTTGCAGTGAGCCGAGATTGCGCCACTAGACTCCAGCCTGGGTGACAGAGCGAAACTCCATCTCAAATAAAAAACAAAGTTCACCCATTTCCTTCCATATTTGGTCAATGTGTGAACAGAATTATCAGTGATTCCAGGGTTGACCGATGAAGTCTAACTTACACAAGTAAAGACAATATGGCTTTTCGGAGAAAAACATCTTTTCAAAGAAAAGCATCATCTGAGAATGTTTTACAGGTATAAGACTGAGACTATGAAAAAAGAAAAAGCAAGAGTACAAACTACACTAAGATTTGAACTTAAATATACAGATGTTACTTTTCATGGGATAAAAAAAAATCTTTCTATGCTCTTCTGGGAGGATAATTTTGTATTCCAGATTCCCCAGCCTGCTCAAGATCAACATCTTACACGCATGTGTTATTATAAGATTGTCCACACATTATTTTCTTTCGACCAACCAGTAATGAAATAAGGGACATTTAAACATGGGATATTTAAAGTAAGTATAAACGAAGTGTTTTTCTCTTATGCGTTCAGTGTGTGAAAACCAGACAGTGCACTTGCTCCACTGAACTTTCTGAACTCCTCTCCCTCCTTTTGTCCAAGAGGTCCCTGCTCATTTAGCTGAGACATCTTTGGTAATTGTGCCAAGCTGCAGAGCTGTGTCCTAACATATGGTAAACTTGCCAAGGGGCTACCAGAAAGAAACATTATTAGTGTTTTGATTTGTGACTTTAATCTGGGTTTCTCAAAACAAGTCCAGAGGAAAACTGTGTAAAGTTATTCTATGATCTTGTTGTTGTTAAATGATAAAGCTTATTCACAGTTGTTTCGAAGATTAAAACAGTCATCGCAACAGCCCTCACCATTAGTTTATTTAATCTGTCGTTCTGTTATCGATAGCACTCACTCTTGGCCCTCCCTTTGCAATTCCAGGCCATCTCTTAAAAATTCATCATTTAGATAATCTATTTAATGCTATAATTTCCCAATTGCAAACACCTTTAGTGGGTTATTTGGTTGTGAAAACTCATGTATGCCCATAAAATATAAACTGGTGATTAGATTTTCTTTCTCATTCACTGGTTGCTCTGAAACTTTTTGGCTCTGTTTTAATTAAGAGTTTTATTTAATATTAAATGATGCTGCATTTACACAGTAGCTTTATTAAGAGATGCTGAAAACTCACCCACTTAACTTCTTTGACCCTGATTTTAATACTTTGAATGTGTCTTTACTTTTTTCCTACTCTTACTGGTTTTAATCCAGTAACTGTATAATAAATCAATGTTGCCGGGCGTGGTGTCTCACGCCTATAATCCCAGCACTTTGGGAGGCTGAGGTGGGTGGATCACAAGGCTAAGAGTTCAAGACCAGCCTGGCCAACATGGTGAAACCCTGTCTCTACTCAAAATACAAAAATTAGTCAGGCGTGGTGGTGCGTGCCTGTAATCCCAGTTACTCAGGAGGCTGAGCCAGAAGAATGGCTTGAAACTGGGAGGCGGCGGTTGTGGTGAGCCAAGATCATACCACTGTACTCCAACCTGGGCAACAGAGTGAGACTCTGTCTAAAAAAAAAAAAAATCAATGCCACAAATTAAAAATAAGAGGAATATTGAAGAGAATTTTCAAATTAACTTAGGGAATTAAAAACTGAGGAATGGGAATTATATGTTAGTAAAAAACAGTTAAGATGATTTCTAACTTGAGAAAATCTTAAGATGCTATGATTAAATACTTGTTGGATCATTAGGTTCTGATTTGCGATGACATTTTTTCCTTTGTCAGATGTTCCAGTGCTGGCTACATCATCCTCTCTGTTTTTCATTCCAACAGTCCTACTGAAGTCCACATCAACCAGTGATTCTGGACAACAGAAAAGTCTCCCCTAATCAAACCTTCTGGGGGTTTCATGAGCACTGTGAGGCTCCAAAGCTGAAGATGGCAGAACTCCGAAAGGCAAATGACTGACAGCTGTCACTAGACCCATGTTTTCTAAAAGGAGCAGATGAAGCAAAAAAGGAATCCAACAAAGCTGCAAGTGAAGAAAACAGAAAAAAAAATATTAAAGACAACAAAAGAAAAAGACATGGAAGAAAAGGTAAAGAAGCTAATAGAGAAGCACAGGAAGCAACAAGGGAAAACGGAATAAAAGAGTTTTCATGGCTGGGCATAGTGGCTCACTCCGGTAATCTCAGCACTGTGGGAGGCTGAGGTGGGCAGATCACAAGGTCAGGAGTTCGAGACCAGCCTGGCCGACATGGTGAAACCCCGTCTCTACTAAAAATACAAAAATTAGCCGGCCGTTGGTGCATGCCTGTAATCCCAGCTACTCAGGAGGCTGAGGCAGGAGAATCACTTGAACCCACGAGTGCAGTGCCATTGCACTCCAGCCTCGGCAACAGAGCAAGATCCTGTTTAAAAAAAAAATGGTTTTCATGGTGGAGAAGACGAAAAAAAGAAAACGTAAACGTAAATGAAGAAAGACGGCAGTAAAAAGGAAAGTGAAGAAAAGGGAGGGAGAAGACAAATTTAAAATTCAAAGATGGGAGAAAGCAGGAAGAGGAGACCTAGGGAGGAAGGTTCTCATATCCCTGCCCATCCCCATGTTCTCAACTCTCTTCCCTCTCCAGTCTAGGTCCATGCGAGAAACAGGACGGTCCCTTCTTTTTAACCATCCATGTAAAACTCCTGCCAAAAACTGGTGATGATTATGGTTTCTTATTATCCCTGTCACTGAGTTCCAAGTCACAGTCAAGAACAGGAATAAAGCATAAACACAAGATCCCAATTAAATAATTTTCTGGCCAGGCATGGTGGCTCATGCCTACAATTCCTGCACTTTGGGAGGCCAAGGTGGGAGGATTGCTTGAGGTCAAGAGTTGGAGACCAGCCTGGGCAACATAGTGAGATTCCATCTCTAGAAAAAATTAGCCTGGCATGATGGTGTGTGCCTGCAGTCCTAGCTTCTATGAAGGTTGAGGTGGGAAGATGGCTTGAGCCTGAGTTTGAGGCTGCACTAAGCCGTGACCACACCAGGGCCCTCTAGCTTGGGTAACAGAGCAAGACCCTGTCTTAAATAAATAAATAAATAAATAAATACTAAATAATTTTCCAAAAGGAGTGTACCTCAAGGCCTCTAGGTGTTAAGGTTCAGCAAAGTATATTCAAAGGTTAATAACAATCAAAGCATACAATGCAAATGCTCATCATGAAGTACGTATGCTGAGCAATTCAAGCGAGCTGTGGCCCTCAGTGAGCTCTTCACTTTCCCCCATATATAGCACATCCTTCTAGACTCTCTAATATCCGTGGCAGGAGAGAACATGCAGTTTATCATTAGAATGGGTCTCCACCAATTTCAGCAGCAGCAGCAACACACACATTGGTTTGTATGTCTGTATATGTGAGAGAGAGAGCAATGAGACTGAGATAGAGAGGAAGACAGTGAAAGAGAAAGTTGAGGAGAGAGGGAGAGAAAATAGAAGAATGAACAAAGAGCTAAGAAAGGAAAAAGAGACGGGGAGAGACAGAGGGGAGAAGGACTGATAATGGAGGCAGTGGTTGCAAATGCTTTGTGCTGCCACTCTGCACCAAACCAGGGGAGTCACGACTGTGTTCACGCGGGTAGGACCACATCACCCACGTCACACCAACATGACAAGGCGTCCCTGCATGCATCTAGGTGGCCCAACACCAACGTAAGGGTAGGTAGAATGACTTTCCCAGTCCCCATCCATCAGCCCAGATACAATAACACCTCCGTTATTTACCATCCCCATCCATCAGCCCGGATAAAATAGTACCTCGCTCTCCCGCTAACCCAGACTTCATGGCAGCTGCAGTCATACCTTTCATGTACAGAAAGCTGTGGAAATATGGCAGAGTGACACAGCTGTACACAGAATCACGCCGGTACGACAGCTCATCGTCTGTATCAAACCTGGAGTCAAAGTCCTCTTCACTGTCTTCAAACTGGACCGAGAGAGAGAGAAGCCAGTGGTGAGGGAAAAGGCCACAAAGCAAACCACTAAAACACCCAGCATGGATCATCATTGAAAAAATAAAAAAATACAGCTACTCGAGAGGCTGAGGCAGGAGAATCACTCGAAACCAGGAGGCAGTGACTGCAGTGAGCCGAGATCGCGCCACTGCACTCCAGCCTGGGCGACAGAGCGAGACTCCGTCTCAAAAAAAAGAAGAAAAAAGAATGAAGAAAAACATAACTGACAAGCAATACGGTAGCACACAAATAATTCAGAATTAAAAATATCAACTTTTAAGGTCAAATGGTCAGTTGAATTGATACGTGAAAGACAAGATATACTTGAATCCAAAGGCTATCTGCCCTAAAATTAACAATGCTTTTTAAGGCTATAATTTGAATCAAACCATGCAAAAGTTAACCCCTTTTGAATTACTATCTTAAATACATTTTCAAATCTTTGAAAGTCAAGAGAACATTCAATGCATGACCAAAGCGACAAAATAAAAGTAAACTACAGATAAATGCAGAAACTGGAAAGAGTACATTTAAGCCCTACAGCTTCTTCCTTTATACCCGCTATAAGAAGTAACACCGTGTGGTTTGGATTGTGAAGTTACTGGAAGGCAAGTTTGCCAGTTCATCCCCGGCAAGTCTTGTTCCAGTTTAGGGCGTGTCTTATTTCCTAACGCAGCATGGCAAAGCTAAAAAAGTTCCATTCAAATTGTAAAAAAAGGGAAGGAAGAAATAAAATAAACAGAAGTTCCATTTAAAAAGACAGTTTCCGACCGGGCATGGTGCCTCACGACTGTAATCCCAGCACTTTGGGGGTCCGAGGCAGGTGGATCACCTGAGGTCAGGAGTTCAAGATCAGCCTGGCCAACATGGTAAAACCCCATCTCTACTAAAAATACAAACATTAGCTGGGTGTGCTGGCGGGCACCTGTAATCCCAGCTACTCAGGAGACTGAGACAGGAGAATAGCTTGAACCCAGGAAGGGGGGATTGCAGTGAGCCGAGATTGTGCCAATGCACTCCAGCCTGGGCAACAGAGCAAGACTCCATCTCAAAAACAACAACAATAACAACACCACAAATAAATAAATAAATAGCCAGTTTTCCCAGGTCTTGGGCCCACAGTTCAGCTCTGGGGCTTTGTGCGAAACCTGGAACAGGCACATCACAATTCCACTTACAAATGCAGTTGGCTTATGGAATAAGAAAAAGGTTTAAGATGATCTCTAAGACCACGACTCTGCAATCTTTGCACAGATATCCTATGGGTATCTTCATTCAACTTGAGGATGCCACAGGGGTGGGTGTGACCGGCCACCCATTTCTTTTTTTATTTTTATTTATTTATTTTTTATTATACTTTTAAGTTCTAGGGTACATGTGCACAACGTGCAGGTTTGTTACCTATCTATACATGTGCCATGTTGGTGTGCTGCACCCATTAACTCGTCATTTACATTAGGTATATCTCCTAATGCTATCCCTTCCCCCTACCCTCTCCCCACAATAGGACCCGTTGTGTGATGCTCCCCTTCCTGTGTCCAAGTGATCCCATTGTTCCCGGCCACCCATTTCACTGGAACATGCCAGGAAGGTACTCACTGAGGACTGTGCCCCCTCAGAGCTGAACCGGTAGGCACCCGAGCTGTTGTAGGTCCCCATAGAGCAGCGGTAGTCGGGGGACCACTGGCTGCCGTAGGAGTTGGAGAAGGTCACGCTGCTGCCGGAAGTGATGGCACCATCCTCATAGTCATCCTGGTCGTAGTCGTAGTCGCCGTCTGGGGAGGGGAGGTCCCCGGCATTCTGGGGCATGCAGTAGGTGGACTCGCCGCTGGAGGAGTTGTGCAGGCTCCCGGAGTCCTGCACTGACGGGGTGAGCAGCACTGTGCTGTCCGCGCTGGGGCTGGTGGGCACCACTGTGTCGTTCATGTAGGGGTCCTCCTCCGAAGAGTCGTCGCTGGTCCGGATGCCACTCGTTCGCTGGTCTGAGTGGCCGTGCTCACTGGGGTTGGGGGAGTCCTTGAAGGCGTCGTCGTCCGCTTCGAAGCCCTCGTCGACCTCCTCCTCTGGGTAGGGCTGGCTGAAGTTGAAGTTGGGCTTCTCCTCGCATGCGCTCTCGGCCAGCTCGCTGGAAAATTCGCTTCCCACAGACAAGGACCGCTCGATATTCCGGACACACTCGTCGATCTCGTCGAAATTGAGGGACTCGAGGAACTCCTGGGCCGCCCTGCACGCTTCCTCCTCCAGCCTGCGGAGCTCCTGGTCCCGCCGCTGCTGCAGCTTCTGCAGGGAGGCCTCGGTCAGCGACAGCTCCTGCTGCTCCTTCATGCGCTGCAGGTCCTCGATTTCTTTCTCCAGACGGAGGATCTCTTCCACCTGCTTGTTTTCCTTCTGTTTCTCCAGTTCACGGGTCAGTTCAGCTTCCTTCTGGCTCTTCTGCAAGGCTTCGAGTTCTTGCTGCTTCCTCGTTTCTTCTTCCTGAGCAGAAGTAGAAGGGAGATTTCAGAAGGCTTCTGTACAAAAGTCCAAGCATAGCTCCCGCTTTGCAACCAGGATGAAATGTGGTCATTACGAGTTGGACTGTGTCCCCACAAAGTCTATAGGTTGAAGTCCTAACCCTCAATACTGCAGAATGTGACTGCATTTGGAGATACGGCTTTTAAAGAGGTGACTAAGTTAAAATGAGGTCACTAGGGTGGGCCCTAATCCAAGCTGACTGGTGTCCTTTTGGGAACAGGAGACTGGGTCACACAGAGCAAAAAGGCTGCGTGAAGACACACTGGAACGGCCACCGGCAAGCCAAGGGGTGGGGCCTCAGAAGAAATCAAACCTAAGGATACCTTGATCTTGCAGTTCCGGCCTCCAGAGCTGGGAGAAAATCAGTTTCCACTGTTTAATCCACCGGTCTGTGGTCTTTGGTCGTGGTAGGCCTAGCAAACTAACACGCTGGTTATACTGATTTAGAGAAATTATACTCTTGTGATGCACACTAAAACCTCAGCCATTCACTACGCTTTACCCAACTGTAACGGGTCAGAAACTGCATCATAAACACATCCTCTTAAATTGGCCTTCCTATTATCTTTCTACTTTAATTCGGTTTTGAATCCTAGAGTCCAAGCGTTAGAAGTGGGAAGTAGAAACACGAGAGGCTAAGTCGTCACTGCACTCATTACCTGCTGGGCGCGGAGCTCGGCTTCTCTTCGCTGTCTCTCTCTTTCTCTAAAAATAGTAAAGAAAAAGTGAAAATCAACAACAATAACCCTAGAACCACTTTTCGGAGAGATCTACCTTTTTAAAACAGCTTTGCCAAAGACAGAAAGCATGAAAGACAGAGCCCCTTCCTCTGGCCATGGACTTATTCTGCGTATGACTAAAAATATTCACAGAACTGGGTCTTTCTTGCTGCCAAGGAATTTTATATTCTAGCCACCAAGAGTTACTGTTTCAAATTGTAGGTTCTGGGGCATCTGCTGGGATTTCTGGCTGCACAGACAGATACCGAGCATAGCACTCAAAATGTATCCTTTTGTTTCATCCCAGCAAGAAAGGTACTGTACCTTTCCTCTTCCTCCCGTTTCTTCTTTTCTTCCTCTTCCTGTTTCTTCTTTTCTTCTTGCTCCCTTTTCTCTGCCAGCAATTGTCTGTAAACTCGACGAGCAATCTGACCTCTGAGTTGCTTCTGGAAAACTATGGCTGCCTTTTTCAGGTGCAAAAATCTCCTCCTCAGAAGGAATGCTCTGTAATTCTTCTGTATTATCACCACACAATACAGGACCTTTCTGTATTGTTTTCTGAAAATGAAAGAAAACAAGGGAATCAGCATTGAAGTAATGAGGCTTTGCGCTATTCAAATGAGCTCACATCAAGGCTGCAAGACAAAAGAGGACCCAGTTTCAGAATGATAGTCTCATTATGGAAACTGGAGAGAACAAGGAGGTCCCTTTGGTCAAAACAAAACAGAAGAAAAACAAAGAAATACTAACAAACAAAACTAAAGTAAGAAGCCTATCACTATCTTGGCTAAATAAACACATAACCAACCCCTCATGTTGACTTTAAGTAGTTTTGGCAGAAAGTTGGGTAAATAGGTTCCCAAAGAGATCTGATATATTCTCCTGTTCATATTAAAAAAAAAAATCATCACAGCAGGACAGCTTTGTACTTCAGAAAATGTAACATGTAGCATTTCACAGGCACAATGGATGGGACTAAAATGCACATGAAGAGAAGTTGCCTCAGGCCAGGTGCAGTGGCTCACGCCTGTAATCCCAGCAAAACTTTGGGAGGCTGAGGCGGGCGGACAGATCACGAAGGTCAAGAGATTGAGATCATCCTGGTCAACATCGTGAAACCCCATCCCCACTAAAAATACAAAACTTAGCCGGGCGTGGTGGCACACACCTATAGTCCCAGCTACTTGGGAGGCTGAGGCAGGAGAATCACTTGAACATGGGAGGTGGAGGTTGCAGTGGGCAGCGATCGTGCCATTGTATTCCAGCCTGGAGACAGAGCCAGACTCTGTCTCAAAAAAAAAACAACCACAACAACAACAAAAGAAGTCACCTCATTCCTCAAACAGCTGGAGGATGAGTCTCTATAGCCAAAATAGTAACACCAAGATGAACAGCCAAGCTGCTGTGGCTTCAAGACCTGATGCAGAGGAAGTAGGTAAACAAATTAAATATCAGTAGAAGGCTGGGCACAGTGGCTCACACCTGTAATCCCAGCACGTTGTCAGCCGGGAGGATCCCATGAGCCCAGGAGTTTGAGAGTTTGAGACCCTCCTGGGCAACATGGAGCGACCCATCTCTAAAAAAAAATTTTTTTTTTTTAATTAGCCAGTCATGGTGGTTTGTGCCTGTAGTCCCAACTACTTGGGAGTCTGAGGTGGGAGAACTGCTTGAGCCCAGGAGGTCAAGGCTGCAATGAGCCATGATCGTGCCACTGCACTCTAGCCTCAGAGACAGAGTGAGACCCTGTATCAAATAAATCAATAGATCTCAGTAGAGTTCCCTGATGTCACTGTTCTTTCTACCTGAGAGGTCAAAAAGTGCAGAGCTCCCTTTCCTACTTGCTGCCCAGGTCAGGCTAGCTAGGTTTCGGGAGTGGCTGCTTAGGAGGCCTGACCTGAGGCTCCCCTCAATTCGAAAACCTCAGGCTGCTCCACTGCAATACACTGGGAAGGAAGGACCCCCTCATGGAGCTTACTGCCTTCTCCCCTCAGCGTGGGGTTCTTACCGTGCCAAGAAGCCCAAGACATGGGCCCGAATCACCATGGCCGCATGGCTCACTTCCTCCTCCCTCCGTTTCTCCAGTTTCTGTTCCAAGGATTCTCGAAGAAAGACCTGCTCAGGAGGGAGTCACATGTCAGAAGCAAAGAACGTGGCCAGCAGAAGGCAGGCATTTCTGAGTCTGAGATATCTTCTGGGGTTAAGGCTTTTTTCTCTAAGTTTGCTCCACCACATGGCCATGCTTTCTAGAATAGTGGTTTTTAAAGATTCCACCTGTCAGGGGCTAAAACACTTGCAAAATCCAATAAAGATATATCACAAGGAAAAACAAAAATGTGGCTGGGCGCGGTGGCTCAAGCCTGTAATCCCAGCATTTGGGAGGCCGAGTCGGGTGGATCACGAGCTCAGGAGATCGAGACCATCATGGCTAACACGGTGAAACCCCGTCTCTACTAAAAAATACAAAAAACTAGCCGGGCGAGGAGGCGGGCGCCTGTAGTCCCAGCTACTCGGGAGGCTGAGGCAGGAGAATGGCGTCAACTCGGGAGGCGGAGCTTGCAGTGAGCTGAGATCCGGCCACTGCACTCCAGCCTGGGTGACAAAGCGAGACTCCGTCTCAAAAAAAAAAACAAAAAAACAAAACAAAACAAAAAAAACAAAAATGCTGCATAAAAATACAAGTCCCTTTTATGGTTATTGTTACTAGATTCAACAGGCGTAAGAGGACTACCAAATTGCTATCTAAGCTTCTAAACACTTAACACATCATGGACTGGGACAAATAGTTCATGGACCAGCATCGGTCACTACATTGAGTCTATGTAATATGATTCAGAGATACAGAAAGCAGAGGAAGGAAAAGAGGAAGGGAGGGAAGCCAGGAAATTTCTAAAACATTATTTTGCTTTCATGTGGAAATCCTCTCTTTATGCCTGCTATGTGATTACAATCAGAGTATCTTGGCTTCAAAAACTTAAATGCACTCAAAATATTGACGTTAAGAACATAATTCTGAAAACTGAGTTTAAAATGAAAACTGAATTATTTCAGCTACATCTCAGTTCGGCTATCACAAGCACAGCAGACGCGGGACTAAATAAATTGGAGCTGTTTGCTTGCCTATTTCTGAGAATGGACACTTTCATCCTCTGCTTATCAAATGTGTGTCAGGTAATTGGCACTTTGTATCAGAATTCCTAGTTTTTGAGAAGATATGAAAATATCAGGACCTTCTCTTGATAAAGTAGCTTTTAATTTTGCCATTTCAGATGTAATACATGCATAAGAAATTTTGAATGACTCCCTAAAACAACCAGTATCAAACATTTTCATGTTTTTTGGTTAACAGTCCACACAGATGCATTTTGGTGTCTCCACAATTTTTTACTTTATACTTCCATGAGTCATTCTGGCCTAAACTGGTGCATCATGTTCTCCCAATGGCACATTTTTCCAGGTTCTCTGCTCTGTGTCCTCCATGACATTTGGGCACGAAAGCAAATAAAGAGTCCTAGCACCTTGTGACTCACAGCCGTACCTATTCCTGCTCTGGGTAAAACTCCATCACACATCATTCTCCTAGGAAAGCTCTTCATACAAATCCTCTCCTTATAATACGATTAATATATTCTGTTGGCCGGGCGCAGTGGCTGACCCCAGTAATCCCAGCACTTCGGGAGGCCGAGGCAGGTGGTTCACCTGAGGTCAGGAGTTGGAGACCAGCCTGGTCAATACAGGGAAATCCTGCCTTTACTAAAAATACAAAAAATCAGCCAGGCATGGTGGCAGGTCCCTGTAATCCCAACGACTTGGGAGGCTGAGGCAGAAGAATAGCTTGAACCTGGGGGGCGGAGGTTGCAGTGAGCCAAGACTGTGCCGCTGCACTCCAGCCTGAGCAACAGAGTGAGACTCTGTCTCAAAAAAAGCAACATATATACATATATACTCACACACATATACACACACACTCATACATACTCATATATACACATATATACTCATATATACATATACATACTCATGTATATGAGAATATATATATATATATCTTCTGTTGGTGCAGAAGCTACAATTGTAAAGTTTGTTGGATGTGATCTTCATTAAAGATGTTCAGAAATACAGAATTCCCTGTACATATCAAAACCATGTAGCAAAAGCAGTTTTCATCAAGACTGGACTTTAAGGAAGTATTTCAACTTCTCTTTGAGATTTTTGTTTGGTATTACATAACTTACTCTAATGATTTTGCCCTTAGGAGCACTTAAAAGGAAAGGAAAAGTAATAGCCAAACCTTGGGGAAGGGGGTGGTGGTGACGAAAGATAAAAGTGTGAGTTCTCACGAGCCACACAGCGATGACACGAACAAGTGAAAACCTTTATGAAGGAACAAAGGTCTTCTCCACCATTGGAAGTCAAAAGAAATGTCTTGGTTAGAATCAGAATCAAACACTTGCTTTAGTTTTCGGTCCATTAAAAAGACAGCTCTCAAAACAAATATATAAATAGATTTTTTAAAAAGACAGCTTTCTTCCCCTGCCTATTAAATTATTCTTCCGCATCTTTATTTACATTCTCCTTCACCAACCTAAAGGGCAAATAAATGGAGAAAATGCTTTTAGGGACCTGTCAGTTTCATTAAGAACATGAACCCTGAATTTAGACAATGACAGAAGGAAAGTGATAGGTTTGGCTGTGCCCCCACTCAAATCTCATCTTGAATTGTAGCTCCCATAATTCCCAAGTGTCATGGGAGGGACCTGGTGGGAGGTAATTGGATCATGGGGGGTGGGTCTTTCCCATGCTGCCCTCATGATAGTAAGTCTCACGAGATCTGATGGTTTTAAAAAGAGGAGTTGCGCTGCACACGCTCTCTTGCCTGCTGCCATGTAGGATGTGCCTTTACTCTTCCTTCATCTTCGGCCATGATCATGAGGCCTCCCCAGCCATGTGGAACTGTGAGTCCATCAAACCTCTTTTTTTAATAAATTACCCAGTCTCAGTTATGTCTTTATTAGCAGTGTGAGAACAGACTAATACAGAAAGTGTTTATGTGAGCCCTTGTGTCACCTTGCCATGTTCCCAGGACTCAGCCAAGACCAAATTGGCACAACCTACTGACTGGGAATGTGGCATCAAAGCAGGCACCAAAGCAGCTGAGCAAAGGGCAGTGCCCACTCAGGCGCTGCTTGGCTGAACTTGACTCAATAACCAACAGCAACCCTTTCACGTGGCTCTTTTTCACCTTTATCTTCTTAGGTAGCTTAAGATCCTGTGGGTTATTCCAGTACACTGTCTTTATAAAAATACCTCCCGCAGGCTTCACTGACATAGAACTGAAGAAGAAAAGTCTGACACTGAAGTCCAGAGGGTCAGAAAAGTAAAAGTCTTGAGTCTTAAGGAATCCTTGAGGCAGTGGGAAAAACCAAAACCAGGAAGGAGAGGGACCCACTGCCCACCTCAGGCACCGTAAACGCAGCTGTTCAGCAGGGAAATAAACTGCAATCTCCTCCCCACGGGCTGTGCCATGGAGCATCCGACAGGCCGCCTCGATTCCTAGTAATGCTTCCCCAGTCCTCTAGGTAAGAATGCTTGCCTCACAAGAACAAACATGTTTTAGATAAGCCAGCCAGTTCAGACGTGGGGCCATGTCTAATTCGCTGCCTTCGACACTGGCCACACTCGCCTGTTGTGTATGGCAGACATTCCTTTACCAGAAGACCAGAAGTTCATCAGAGGTTTGAGGCTTTAAATACAAAGACCTTCTGACAGCAAGACACCAAAACACCTGCTCTCCAACACGTAAATCAAACACTGGTCAAGATCAAAGCTATCAAGAGGGCACAATTCAAATCCTTTGATGTTTACATTTACTTCCTAACGTATCTATGGAAAAATACACTTCCATCCAACTTCTACTCCCCACTTTTCACCGATTAAAACTGAACTCCTCTTTAAAAACTTCTTCTTGAATACTTCCTTGATCATTTCAATCCATAGGGATCTCTCTCCTGAAGAAGCTGTTTTCTTGCTCCTTTAAAAAGATTGTACTGCATGATTTAATTCATCCACTGTGTGAATATCTTATCTTCCAACATAGCAAACTGAGGACAACGCCCATGTCTCTGTGTCCCCTATGCTACACTACGTCCAAAGCCTGCCTTGGGCCTGATTTCCATAATGAAGTGAAGTTGAATTAGTACTTGGAGCCCAGAAGAGATTGCTAATGGCCAGGGTGAGTTTTAATGGTCTCTAATGTCACTCCACTGTAGAAGGCAGTGAGGTGACTCCTTTATAGAGAATGCAATTTTTTTTTTGTTTTTGAGACAAGGTCTCACTCTGTGGCCCAGGCTGCAGTGCAGTGGCATGATCAGGGCTCACTGCAGTCTTGACCTCCTGGGTTCTAGCAATCTTTGCACCCTAGCCACGCGAGTAGCTGGGACTACAGGCACATGCCACCACGCCTGGCTAATTTTTCTGAATTTTAGTAGAGAAAAGGTCTCGCTATGTTTTCCAGGCTGGTCTCAAGACTCCTGGGCTCAAGCGATCCTTCTGCCTCAGCCTCCCAAAGTGCTGGAGTTACAAGCATGAGCCACTGTGCCTGGCCTGCAATTTCTTTTGATTAAACAAAATCAGAGCAGATTATTATATTGCACTGCCAAGAGATCCACTTGAGCCATTTTCTTCAGAAAGTTTTCCTAAGTAAATAAATGTATGACATCCTGTGTCATCTCTTACAGTTTTTCAGCACTTCTAGACACTGATTAAGCTCAGCCCTGTGTAAAATGAACAATCGGCTCTACGTGCTCTACTGGGTGATCGCACAGAAGCCAACAGCAAGACAGCAGGACAGCATATGAAGTCTACATCAGGGCTAAGAAAAGGATGACCTGGGACAACAGAGGAGGGGGCTTACCCCAGCTGTAGGGTACACTGAGGAATGTCCAAAAAGGAGTCCTTTCAAAGTCTACATCCAAGCTAAGACCTAAAGATAAGTTGGCTACAGAAGGCGTGGAGAGTAAGATTCCAGGCAGACAGACCTATCACCTGAGGGGGGCACACCCTCCCAGTGGGTGACACCCCTCTTTAATCTTCCTGAGTGAGGGTGCAATCTGGGACTTGCTTCTAGCCATAGACTGCAGCAAAGGTGATGGGATGTCACTTCCGTGAGAACATTACATCATACAACACTTCGTCCTAAGCTGGAGCATGGGGCTATCCTGCTGGCCTGAAAGAAGTGAGCTGCCATGTCGTGAGGGGGCCATGTGGCAAGGAATTTGGGGGGCTCCGTCCTAAGCTGGAGCATGGGGCTATCCTGCTGGCCTGAAAGAAGTGAGCTGCCATGTCGTGAGGGGGCCATGTGGCAAGGAATTTTGGGGGCTTCTAGGAGCTGCGAGTGGTTCCCAGTCAATAACTAGAAAGAAAACAGGGACTTCAGTCCTACAAAAACACAGGAAAATGAATTTTGCCAATGACCAAGTGAGCCTGGAAGACACCCTGAGGTCCAGAAAGGAACAAAGCCACAAGATACAGGGACTGCAGGCCTGGGGGACCCTGATCAGAGGACCCAGCTCAGACCCTTAGATACTATGAGATGATCAATGTGTGTTGTTAAAGCCACGAAGTTTGCAGTAATGTATTGCAGAGCAATAGCTAGCTCATGTGATTATCTCTGCATGCCATCTCTACCCTATTTTGTGTTTATATCTTAAATCCCCCACCAGTAAAACATTCCCCTAGAGCAGGGAGGTAGGTCCATCATGACTTTTCCTTGCTGAATGGCCAGGAGGTGATGCCTAAGTACTTGTCATCAATCTCACATTGGTCAAACCGCAAGACATACGTCTCTCTCTCCCCGTTTTCTCCCTCTTTCCTTTCCTCTTTTTATAAAACAAAGAAACTCCTAAATTAAAAATAGCATACTACGAGTGGAAGCTTTAAAATATTTCTGACATTGTACTGCTGTGTGTAAGGGCAGAAGGATTGGGAGTGAGGATTCGTTCTTCGAGGACACACGTGTCCTCAGCTGCCTGCATTTCTGTGTCGAGTCACATTGCTGTCTCTCCCATGTGACAAGTCACTGGACGTGGGTGGGGAATGAGAGTGGAAGCCCAGCGAGGTTCTTGGCAGTTCCCTGATCCAGAAAGAAGAAGTCATACAACAAATTTTATGACTAATTTTTTATGTTCAGGCCAGACCGCCCAGTATTCTGCTCCTATCTGGAAAAGGGGATTAAGGAGCCTCTGCCCCAACAGCATCTTCAAAAGCAGATTTTTCTTTTTGCTTTCTGGACTGAGTTTTTGACAACTGAAAGGATTTCAGACAGGTTACTGATTTTTTGCTCCGTCACTGCTCTGGTTGCAGGGATAAAAGCCAATATTTGAATTACAGAAAGTTAGAAGGGTCTGGGGTATCATTTCTTAGACACTGGGGGCTGCCTCATACTTCCAAAGCACTGCTACTTGTCTGCCAACATTTGTTGACTGCCTGAACAAATAAGACACACACACCAACAATTAGGATGAGACGTTTCAATGCGTTCTCTAATGAAACAGAATCCCTGACAAGTCAAGGACTTCAAATAAAATAGTAACTGTTCGGGAGACAAAATGTTACGGTAGGCATGACAACAGGAGTATCCTCCTAATGTGAAAGAACAATTGTGTAGCAGTGTCACAGAACCCTAAACCCCGTGAGCATCGCCCCGAGATCTGTCGGGATTCGGTGGGAGTTGCTCTTTTCCCGCATCGTACCTTCGTCTTCCCCAGCTGCCACTCGCTGTTGGAGGCATCATAGAGCTGCAGCAGGCTCGTGCACTTCCCTCGGATGTCCTCAGGCAGAGCCAGATTCCTCATCAGCACTTTATACCTGCAACGGAAAGACACACAGTCACCTTCTGCGATAGTTCCCTGTTTTCTCCAATCCCTTTGAAAAGAAAGAGAATCCAATCCAGCTCCCTCTTGCCTTTTGTAAAAGTCCTGAAAGGGTCTTCGGACCGCATACCCAGCTTTGCGGATTCTCACAGTCTCCAGCATCCCTGAGTACCGCAGCTGGTTCAGCACAACTGCCTGGTCAAACTGGTCTGGCATCTAAACCATGCAAAAAAGGATGGGATACCATTAGAAAAAATGGAATTAGATAAGGCAGACTTAATAAAGCTACCTCCATCATTGGTTTACCCCTGCTTCAAAACACATATAAGAGTCTTGAACCTACACAGAAATACAGACTAGCACAGGAACCCCAGTGGAACCAACACCTCACTTTAACAACCATCAACCTCTGCCAATCCTGCCCCATCCACAAGCTACTTCCTCCCTCCCCTTATGTTTAAGAAAATCCCGGCCGGACACGGTGGCTCATGCCTGTAATCCCAGCACTTTGGGAGGCCGAGGCGGGCAGATCATGAGGTCAGGAGTTCGAGACCAGCCTGGCCAGTATGGTGAAACCCTGTCTCTACTAAAAATACAAAAATTAGCCAGGCGTGGTGGCGCACGCCCGTAGTCCCAGCTACCGGGAGGCTGAGGCAGAAGAATCACTTGAACCCAGGAGGCAGAGGTTGCAGTGAGCTGAGATGGTGCCACTGCACTACAGCCTGGCAACAGAGTTGTCTCAAAAAAAAAAAAAAAAAAAAAGAAAAGAAAATCCCAAGCTTCACATCATCTCATTTGCAAAGATTCTACTATATATCATGTGTTAATATAACACTATTATCGTATCTTTAAAGATATCAGTAATTTCTTTATATTAATATCCATGTTCACATTTTTCACATTTCTGGCTGTATCACAAATATCATAAATGTACCACCACTTTAAAATCTATTTTTTCCCCAAAGAATCTAAAGTGTCATACAAATGTCACTTTACTTTACTTTTTAAATTTGAATTCAAAGGCATTTTTTACCTAAGAACACAGTGACTCGGTGAGGGGCAGATACCCACACTGCGGCAGGTGGGGTGGGGGTGGGGGTGGGGGTGGAGAAGGGGAGACGACCATGCTAGCCAGTGGAGAAGACACAGGAGTGAAAAAAGAGTTTGACTTTGCTCAAATTCTAGTCAAATACTTATTCACTGAGAGCTCCATACTCTGATCACTAAATAAGTAAGCCCGAGAACATACAAATTAAAGACAGAGGAAATCAGACCAAGACTTAATGTTCTGAAATGTGTTCTTTTATTTGCTCAGCTGCCAAACAAACTGGCACTGGGGCCAGGACAATAGGTTTTCAGGGGAAAGCAAAAAAGTGGGCCATTTAGGAACTCTGGGGACAGTGGTTTGGTTTTTTAGTCCACCCACCGGTGTTCCCTTTAATTAAGCTGCATGTTGTTATCCCACACAACTGTGAATACAATGACAAAAAAATAGTGCTATAGGACCTAACTGTTAAAAAACACAAGAATGCAAAGTGGCTTAACAAGAATGCAAAGTGGCTTAATTTGTGACCTTTAACAATGCAGTCATTAACACAAAATTAGGCATAAAGCCATGTTATTCTGCAAGCTTTCAAAATTGGCAAAAAAAATAAATGTAAAGAATGCTTTGCAACTGTCCCTCACAGCTTTTGATGGAATAGCTGCCATCAGCCCTAGTGGGCTGACTTCTCTCACATTTAATTTCTTCTACAAACACTGTGGTCAAATTGTCTTTACTTAGCAGTATTCCAACCAAGTGCAGCCAGCAAATTAGGGCAAACGTCCAAAGAACTGTGGTTCTCTGTTTTTAGTCTTGATTAAATTATCCATAGAAAAGTAAGAAAAGCATAAAAATATGAAAACAAAATCACCCTTGGTGACTCTTACGCCATCTCTCTGGATTTAAAAATGCGGGCTCGGGGGTGGCTGACTGTTCTGAAGGCATTTGGTTACAACGCTTCTGTGAGATTTATTTGGGAATATAATCTAACCAGCACCAATCTACAAAGACTAGTACAGGGCAAATATAAAAGGAACATCGAATCAAGTATCAGACTTACTCAACTTTGTTAAATTTATACTACAGAGAAGCCTTCTAAATTTAATATTTAATCACTTGAGGCTCAAAAGACTTTCATCCAAAATATCTCTATCTGAGGCTTTCACTGTTCCCGACCCCCTCTTTTCTCCCAGTCTCTACTGAACGAAGTCCGTACAATTCCCCAGTCCGGCACTCGAGTTATTAAAACTGAAGACATTACACCAAAAGGGCCTCCCCATCCAAAAAGTTCACCCACACTCACCATCTTCCTGCCTCTCCGAGGGGCATTGCACCTTCAGTTTGGCTCTTGGGCCAAAATTCGTATGGAAAACAACGGCCACACTGACCTTTTCCCCACAGCTAAAGACACGGAACAATAATGAACACCATTCCTGCGCTTTAAAAAGTGCCCAGTCGCCATGACAACCCCTTCCATTCTCGGGCTAATTAGTGTGGTGTGGTTGTAGGATTTGACACAGCCCGGGGAGGGGAGGGAGGGAGCCAGGAGCTGTTGCGAGTTCCAGGCTCCCATTGAGAGTGACTCTGCCCCTTCCCAGTAACTTAACCAGGGGAAGGGCATCTATAGGCTGATTGTCGCCCTAGGCAACCCACCCTGCCATCACGAGGCGGGTAGACCTGGATTTCCACTGGTGGTTCTCTTTTCAGCTGCGATTTCCTTTTCTGGTGAATTCAATGTTCGAAGATGACACAGCTGGAGGCTGGACAAGGCACAACTTAAAGGCATTTCGCCTTTCAAAACTTCGCTATTACGCTGTCTCCACTGGTAACTAGTTTTCCAGAACCGGAGCTGACTCCCACAAAGGCTGTCTGCAGTGTACCAACAGGGAAGTCTTGATGGCAACAAATAGGTTGGAGTTTGGAAGAAACAGCCTCTAACCCAGGGCAATTACAGTCACCTGATCCGTTTACTGAATATTTACTGAACACCTACTATGTGCAAGGTTTTGTAATTCATGATCGGGGAAGATTTTTTTTAAAAAAGGTGGAAGCCGTGTTTTGTTTCCAAGGACCCTGCAATTTAGGAGGCTGGACAGGTACATCAGTACTTATGTAGCGGAAAGCCTAATATCAAACTATAAAGATTAAAATTAAGTTCCTTGAGAATATAGGAGAGAGAAAAATACTGAGGGGGCATGGGAAGTGCACAGACTTGAACTAGAGCTTGGAATCTTAAAATGCTGGAGGGAAGGGGCATTCTCCGCAGGAAAAAAAAAAAAAAACAGGAAGAAAAGCCAAGAGGAACCTGGCAGGTTCAGTCAACAGGATGGGATGGAACAGAGGGAGGCGGGAAGGACCTGGGTGGAAGATGGATGCATGGTTCTTGTATTCAAGATAAGGAGGAGTCACAAGGAGTCACTGGAGGCTCGAAGTAGAGACAAACAGGGTCAGACCTGTGCTGTGTAAGGATCCCCTTGGTGGCAGCAACAACACTAGGAGCAAGACTATCCCCAAACGGGCGGCGGCGGGTAGTATTTCTCGGATACCACGCACGTTGTAAAAGGTCATGCCAGCCATTAAACAATAAGACCGCGGCCGCGGTGGCCTCACACTGTCATTCCCAGCACTGGTTGCGAGGCGAGACGGGGTGGAATCACAAGGTCAGGAGATGAGACCATCCTGGCCTAACATGGTGAAACCCGACCCTACTAAAAAAATACAAAAAAATTAGGCCGGGTGTGGTGCGGAGGGCGGGGGGGGGGGGGGGCGCGCTGCTAGTCCAGTCTACTCAGGAGGCCTGAGGCAAGAGAATGGCGT